TCACCCTCATTGTATTATCTCCTCTTATACTCATTTCCTGATTGACTGCAGAAGGTTGAAGTGAGTACTGAAATCATGATTTGACCTGAGCTGTAATAGCTTTGAGGAAAATTTGACAATGTTATTCCGTAATCTAATAATTCAATAATATTAGGCATGATAACTAAGTCAGTACAGTTAATGGCTATTGGCTGGATGACTTATAGGCAGGGATGATTTCCTTTGCAGCCAAATCCTGATCTGTTTAGGGAATGCTAGAATATGTTTCCCAAAGTTAAAGCAGCTGGAGTGTGAAGCTGGTACATTTAGGTCCCAATTTGAAGATATGTAAGTCTGAAATGAACAAAGCTGGGAATAAAACAAAAAGCACATCATGTTGGAACAAATTTCAACTTATTTCTACATTTTATAAGTGCTGAATTTACTGCTGTGAATTTATTTAATAATTATAATTTATCTAAATCAGAACTAATTGTCACTTGCCCTGTATATATTAATCCTTTGGCATATAGTCATCTTAGGGGCTATTGCAATATGTAGCAAAATGTGAAATATTCAAAGTTGTGAGCATGGAATAAGGAACAGCTGTAGCAGGCATGGCAATTGCCTTGCAGACATCTGAGGATTTCCGACTGCGATTGAACGAGGTACTGCGCCAGGCAGGCTATGACATAGACAACATGCGCTATCCTGAGGGTTATCAAGAGGCTCCTCTGGCATATGATGCTGTATGGGCTGTGGCCCTGGGTGAGGCATGCGCACGCCTCCCCACCTCTTTTCTTTCAGCTTTTTTTGTTATTTTTATTTATTGTTGCACCATGCTTGTTAAGTTTTATCCTTTAACTGCCATACTTTTTCCCCATAAATGAGACATAAAATCTGTATATGAGATATGAGGCTTTCATGGCAGTGAAAGTGTTTGTGTTGATCATCTGGGTTTTGATGCCTTGAGGACTTGTAGGTATATTCCATTGTTTTGGGATAACAGATTGTCTTCATCTCCAGGGCTGAAGATGGATGCATTGTGTTCCTGCAAAATGTTGGTACTGTGCCTTCCTGCAAGTCTGCAGGCTGTTACAACCCAGAGGACCAACATGAATGTATTCTGTATGTTGAAGTATAATTAATGTACAGAATGGCCCAAAAGTTGTGCCCCATGTTGTTGCTAGACTAATGTACTTTGATGTTTCTTCAAGCCTACATCAGTATGGGAAGGTAAAGTTCCTTGCTAATTTATCTTCAGATAATAACACTACACAGAAGAAAATGTTATAAGTTATGTTGCAAGATATTACTGATTATTAATATACTTAGTGACACTAATAAGATTGGAATGTTCTAAAATCAAGTGTCAGTGGTTTGAGGCAAGCTTGGTGGGCGTCACATGTTTGTTGGATGAAGTCGATGGCCAGAACTCAATCATTTATTTTACCTTTGTTAGTTAAAATCCTTATGGGGCATGACTTTTGGACCAACTGTTGTTTTCTAATGATCTGAAGTCCATTTTAAAAACATGTAAAATTGTTTTCAGAAAAATGTCTTTTCATGAATTTCCCAGTCAGAGAGGACAGTATACTCCTGATTGTCTGTGTCTAGCTAATTATTTATGCATGTCTTTTCTTCATTTTGTGGTTTTCCATGTTTTTATTCATTTTGAAGATTATTCTTGCACATTGTTTTTCAGTACTTCTTGAATTTTTAGAAAGTTTATGAAGATGAACTTGAACCTAGAATCAGTTGTGTTGTTTTTCTACCAGTTTGTTTTGAGGCATTCTTATTATCTTTTGACTTGTTTGGGGATTTAGTGAGTTGTGTGGGGAGTAGTTGGAACTTCTCGCCTTATCTCTTTCATTGTACTGTGCCACTACTATATTTATTATGAATGAAAGTGATTTCTACATTAGTTTGAGTTGTTTGTGGTGCAGTGTGTGCATGAATTGGATTGTCCGTGCATTTCAGTTATTCATACTCCTGTAGTTTTTATTATAATGTTAATTTCATTCTAACTGTATTTACTTATATAATTACCTCATTTTTCTGCATACTTATTTTTACACTGAAACAAGGCTGTGGCTGAAGAAGGCTGTCTCTGGGTTGTAGTGCCATGTAGTCTGGTAGAAATTTACCAACATTTCAGAGGTCCTTGCTGCATCCATCATCAGGGCAATGACAGTGGTTCACTTCTATCAGATTACATGGCACTACTACCGAGAAGACAGCCATCTTTAGACTCACTGCTGAGAAAACCTCAAATCTTACTAAGAGTGTGACTTTTTACTTTATTTACATAATCCATGCAGGGCACAAAAATATTATTTAAAAATAGCCAAATAATTTTGACACAGCTGTGATGTGTACTATACACTGTTGCTTTTATAATGAATGGTCTGTTTATGAGTTTTGTATACTGCACACTTGAATGTGAATAGATTTTTCATTTGTATCTCCTTGCAGATTTTCAGGGGCAGATGACAGTGTGTACTGGAGGTTGTAGCAATAACAAGAGTATTAAATATTGAAATAAAACTGGATGTTTACATGAAAAGATAATATACATTTATAGTGTGATTATTTTGTCAGAACTTATAATAGAGTTTCCTTTAATATTTTATGTACCTTATATTAGGCAACAATTTCTTACCAGTTACAAAGTCAGTGAAAACCATTATTATGAACTTTTTATTATGTGTGTTTCTTGTTGCTGCATTAATTTGGCATGTTTGTTTCTTTGCACCTAATTGCATTTACTGTTATTTCAGTGTTTGATGTTAGTTTTGTGTGTCTATTGATAATTCATACATTGAGTTTTACTGTATTAATTATTGTAATATGTGATGTCCTTTAGAAATGCTTGTCACAGTGCTCAAGTGATAACACATAGCCCACTTAGCATACAGTTTTATGTCTACTCAAAGTATCTGCTTGAAACACCTTCTTAGATTCCAGAACTTTTATATTGGTAAAGTAATTCTGTTTTTGGTCTTCTATAAATCTGACATTCTTTCAGCTATGTTTTACAGACTTTGACATAGCTGAAGTCACTTTAATGGACAGGTATCCAACAGTTATCAGTATATGCCAGTAGGTTAAATGATTGTCTTTGGGGTAGTTTATTTAGTTACAGCTGTTACTACATATGATGCACAGATTGTGTTAGTAGGAAAATGGTTTTAAAAGTAGTGAAAGCAAATTATATATCAGTGTTTAATACATTTTATTCTGCGAAAGTCATGCAAATAAAGTGTCATGTAGTTTTTGAGATGGAACCTTCAGCTTGAGAGAACATTTCAGTTGGTGTGTAGTGTAGATGGTTTAAAGTGTGTAAGAGTCTTATGTCCATATATGTGCATGTTGTGCTAGTCCACATTTCCGTGCAAGTTAAATGTGACTGCATTACTAAATTGTGCATGTTTATGACTGTCTTGTCTGCTGGCAACCATATTTTTAATAGTTTTCCTTGTATTTGTAATTACTTGGAGTAATGGATATATGGATATTTTCACGTGTTCTTAGAACATGTCTGTCTCTTGTGCTTTTTGACATATGTATTTAACTCTTCATTGTCTCTTATTTATTTTGTGAAGGAACATTTTCTTCACATTTTCAGTAACAGCTTCACTTGACATTGGATTTCACATACAGTAAGGACAAATTTGTTATGCATAAACTGAAAATTCCAAGGTTGTTTGAGGTTAGGAGTGTGAACTTCATGATGGTAAATATGAAAACTATTTCAGCTACTCATGTAAAAACCCACAGTACAAGAACTATGTTTTTGTACTGTCTGTACAGTGACGGGTACTGGCATTACAACAACTAGAATATTATGATTGGAGGTTTTAGGTTAGATCCATTATTTCGATTTCTTCAGTTTAAAAAATAAATCCATCGTAATCCAACCTCATTAGATTAGCCATATCTATGCCGCTTCTTAAAATGTAGACCATGGATACAGTATTCCATTCTCACTAACTGATTGGAGTTTGACAATTCTTTTGTATCATTTTACATGGCCTTGAATACATTAAATTTGTGTCTTGTCACAGAACAGAATTTCGGACACTTGCTTTATTTTACATTTGATCATGATATATTTTCTTTGCTTCAAGCATTCAACAAAACCATGGAACGGTTACACAAACATGGAAAAAGTTTGAAAAATTTTACATACACAGATAAAGAGACAGCAGATGACATTTACTCAGCCATCAACAGCACACAGTTTCTTGGTGTCTCTGTAAGTATTATATTTGTGATGTTTGATACTAAATTTTTTATGCTTTAATTGCAGCTAAAGTTGCAAATTATTAAAGTCCTTAGTGTATAGTGTAAAAGTCATATAAGCTGGCATGCCTCTAAGCTCACAAACACACACACACATTTAATGTATAAAATTAATTTAATGTAAGAGAATGCATTAAGTGTGTAATACATAAAGGAACTAACTAACTAGATTGCTTAGGGAACCTGAAGGTTCATCACTGAATTAACCAACGCCCTCAATACATAAAGGAAGACATACATAACCTCATTACATTTTTTGCAGGAGAGTTAATTAGTAAAAGGTAAAGGTAAACATAAATTTGACCCTGTACCTAAGCACTGTGCCATGAAGGCATATGTGGAGTGGAGGTGAAGCTCTACACATTCTTAACCTCAGGACCAATGTATGTGAGTGGTCAGCTTCAGACTCTAGTGTCTTTAGTTCATTATTAGTTGGATAGTTGGATAACGTACGTAGTCACATTCAACAAGGTATCTGCTAATGCAGATGCATGCTTTTAGTAGTGCATCTTATTCTTCTGTCTTAATTTCTGTAGGTTTGATTATGTGAGTATGTTTCAGGGATATGTAGCATTCAGTTCACAAGGGGATCGTATAGCACTGACACAAATTGAACAGATGATTAATGGGACATATGTGAAACTTGGTTATTATGATACACAGAGTGATAACCTGACATGGCTCAGCAAGGAGAGATGGAGTGGTGAGTAATATTTTTATTAATGCCATTGGTATAAAGGCTGTTTAGAAGTAAAGTACTACACCTTTCTCCTTGTGCTTTGTTTAAAATAGGTGACTGAAATCAACACGTAACTTCTATCACAGATCTGTAGTGAACTAGGTAACATATTTCTTTTCAGTTGGCATTATTGGAAATAAAAAATGTTATCTGGAAATTTTCAGACTGCCTGTAAGATAATATAATAGCTGCTCTGCTAGATGATGATAGAATACAATCTGCTGAAGTTTGTTGTTCATTTCAAAACTGTAGGATGTGTCATTTAGAAGCAATGCATTGTTAAGCAAGGTCATATGAAATGATGGTGAGAGTGTTTAACTGTAGTAGCACCATACAAATTTTTGTTTTGGTGCATTGAAGCAGATTGGAACAACATAACTTACTTGCATGGCATTAGTAAGTTGTACATTGATTGCATCAATTCAGTTCTTCAATAAACTACAGCAGTCTGTTGCCCTAGGACCATTATATTGGTTGGTTTTTCTTATAGGAGGCAAAGTGCCACAAGATCGAACCATTGTGCGTCAAGTATTACGCACAGTCTCTCTTCCCCTCTTCATCTGTATGTGGACCATCTCATGTATAGGGATTATGGCTGCCATTGCACTCATTGTATTCAACATATGGTACCGTCACAGAAGGTATATTTTCTAAAAATCATAATTTTATATGAGATTATAAGAGTATATAACAAAGGATGCAGATTTCTTGATGTTTACGGTATTTACAAACCTGGTGTTGCAGTGCCTTATTGTGATACTGGTTAATGCTAATAGCTTATTCATAAATGGTAATTTAGTGGTACTGGTGATCATGGTCACTGCTTAAATTGTTACCCACAAGTAACATAATGTTGGGATAGTACCTTAAATTAGGCTATGACCACTTCCTTCCATATTCTTTCCAATTCATTATTCACAAGACTATAAATATATAAAGAAACAAGTAACTTACACTGGAACTGCAGTTATTAAAAAAATAGTAGATTGCTCATCTCAGATATAGAACTTATGTATCTTATATGTACCATAAATAATATTTGCACATATTCTGGAAATTCCTTGAAGTTTAAATGGTACTATTGCAATTTATGTATTGTTATGACAATCTCATGCCACAGAACTGAATTTATTGTTGTTGCTTTTTGTTTCTCCGTGCTCTCACAACTTGTAATTGCTTAATTTCAGAGTGATACAGTCATCTCATCCTGTGTGCAACACCATCATGTTACTGGGTGTTTGTACTTGTTTGTGGTCAGTGTTTCTACTAGGACTGGATGGCCAGTTTGTAAGTCCACATGTATACCCAGTGGTATGCCAGGCACGTGCCTGGCTTCTCTGTATTGGTTTTACACTGGCATATGGGGCCATGTTCAGCAAAGTGTGGCGTGTTCATCGCCTTACAACGAAAGCCAAGTCAGAAGTCAAGGTTGGTAATCTTGTATTGAAATTGATATAAGAACTATGATGGATAAGATATGCTATTTTGCTTTATGTGCATATTTCTGCTGTCTTCCAAAGAATTCCTAAAAGATCTAGTAATCTGCTGTTGCCGTTTGTTACTCAGGAGAAGAGCTTTGACCTTGGCAGTATGGAAGCTTAAAAGCAATAAGTCTGAGGTTAGACACCACTGCTTCAGCTGAAAAAAAAACATGCTGTATTCTGGGAAAGTTCTGTGTGCAAGTTAATTTATTGTAAATTTCCATTATTTTCTGTTGTCTATTTGTTTGTGGTGTAATCTGAACACTTTACACATGGTCAGCAGTCGAAATAAGGGTGAACCATTTATAGTGAAGTTGGGGGAGATTATAAATCTTGTGAATCACTAGTGTAAACAAGAAGCAGTGGAGAAGAGTCTGATTTTGCCTATTTGCTGTGCAGATGAAAGAAGAGGAAACTTCTGTAGATTGTGTGTTGTAGCAGTGAAATAGATTATACAGGAGGGGAGAGACAGAAATTATACGGTTAGTTCCTCATATTTTGACAAGGTCCATTTATTTTCCCCCATTATGTCTGCCCACATTGTCAAGGTCAAAGATTTTTCCAAGTATCAGTACATAAAACACAGTTTAAAACAATATTTAGAATAGATAGTTACAGAAAAGTTAGAAAGGGTTCAAGTCTACAGTAAAAGGAACAGCATAAAATTCTGCCCCTTATTTCAAGCACTGCTTTTATTTTGCACAGTTTTAAAAAATGAAAATGAAATGTTTTACATTGGCTCTCTTTGGTTTGTGATTGCAGAAAGTTGAACCTTGGAAGTTGTATCTCATGGTGACTGGCTTCCTGTTGGTAGACCTGGTTATTCTTTTAACATGGCAGTTGTATGACCCATTGCAGCGTCGTATAGAAGTGTTTCCACTGGAAGATCCATTGTCAACTGAAGATGATATCAAGATTCGGCCTGAGCTGGAGCACTGTGAAAGTGAAAACAATAATGTTTGGTTAGGTAAGACAAAGATGCTTTCATCTCCCGTTTATCATAATTATGCTCTTTAAGTATACAAGAAATAGAAATGTTAAAATGATCATCATTTGTTGATAGGTAATGATTTATAAGTGGCCATGGCCTATTTGAAGGTACTAATTCAGGTTGATTGATTCTTAATTATATGGTTTCAGTTACAGTGTGTCCATAAAGTTGTGGTATGGTTTTCAGACTTTTTTTGACAGTTAGTGCTAGAAACATGAATGAAAGTTTACCTTACTTCGTTAGTGAAGTGAAAACAGCTCGCCATCATTAGCAAAATGTGATATACAGACAATGAGAACAAGGTGACTGCCATCATCATGCAGTGACATCTAATAATGGTTATTTTGAGCACTTTCCATTTCAATTAAGCACGTCTTATATTTTTTAGGTCTTATTTATTTACTATATTCCTTGTGGAATGTCCTGGTCAGAGCTTCATTAAAACAGCAGCTATATCTTAGAGTTACAAAACTTGTCATTCCAAGAATGGGACTTGGAGACTATAAAAATTGGAAATTGTTGTTGGCATACATTGGATTTACATTCACTAAATGTAAACTTAGGCAGTTCCAATATAAATGAAAAGTGCTTTTGTAATATTTTCAGGTGCATTTACATCCCTGTGGAGAACCTATTAAAATCACTCTATATCATATCTGCACACTAGAGTGACTGGATAGGGATCTTCCAGGCTACCTTGGTTGCCATGGTCAAAGATTAAATTGTAGTGATGATGCCATAATTGTTGTACTGTGCATACATTTCATAATTTGTCTTATATTTTTGCAGGTGTTATGTATGGCTACAAAGGACTTGTGTTGGTATTTGGCCTGTTCTTGGCCTATGAAACTAGAAGCATCAAAGTAAAGCAGATCAATGATTCACGCTATGTTGGAATGTCCATCTACAATGTGGTAGTTTTGTGCCTCATTACGGCTCCAGTCACCATGGTCATTGCCTCCCAGCAAGATGCTAGTTTTGCATTTGTTGCACTTGCCGTCATCTTCTGCTGTTTCCTCAGCATGGCACTCATCTTTGTTCCTAAGGTATTGTGCTGTGATTTGAAACCTTAATTGAAAGATGTAGCATGTAACCTGCAGGAAAATACATAGGATTTGAATTTTAATACTGAGTTTGGAAAACTCCAAATATTTTCCTAAGCATCCTTTTTTAAATTCCCTTAATCTGCGTTCTGTCCTTTATGTGAGAGACTAGGTTTCACATCCATACATAATAAATGGAAGAAAACTATAGTGCTTTTATATGGATTTGAATGGTAGGCATTAACAAAAGAACAGATGAGAGAATGCAGAAATGTTTCATGCTGGGAATAATATGTCAATACATTTAAGACTTGCAATCAGAAGAAATGGCTAGAACATGTGGAAGGAATGTCTGAAAATCAAATTCCAGTGTTGCTGTATATGTGTAAATCAAAGGACATAAAATACCTGAAATATTCAACAAAAAGATGAGAGTGGCTGGTTTAATTCTGACCAGAATAGTTTCCATTAGAATGTACACCTTTTAGTGACTTTTTTGTGTTTAAAGATATATACTGAATTTTTTTTATCTTGTCTGCCCGTTAGCTCTGCAACAGCAGATTTGTATCTGCAGTGAATGAACTTGAAGGCCATTGAGGTATGCAGATAACAAGGAACATGTTTAGAAAGTACTGTGGAGTACATTCTTCCACTCTTGTATTTAGTCCATTTGTGGTAAATAAATTACTGTGTGTCTGACTCGACTTTGAAATGTGATGTCATGGTGAATGTTGTCCATAAAATTTCTCCTAACTAAAATGTTCCCACTGTTGGAGAAGTTTGAAACTGGGTGTGTTACCAGTGACCTAACCAATATACTACATTCTGTAAAAGTATTGTAATACTTAAAATACGAGAATGTGGCTAAACATTAGGAGGCTAGAAAACTAAAACAATTCTGTACTCAGACAGACAGTAGTTCTTTAATATAATGAAGTGTGATATAGAATACATATCGCCCCTTGATGACATATTGTGTTATTCAGGTGATTGAAGTGATACGCCATCCACGAGACAAGGCTGAATCAAAGTACAACCATGATGTAGGAATGACTAAAGAAGATGAAGAACGGTATCAGAAACTTGTGGCTGAAAATGAGGAACTCCAGAAACTCATATCAGCAGTAAGATTGTTTTTATTTTATTTTGTACCTGTAATGAAGACTGTGGAATGTGGTATTGGTGAATGTTCAGAAAATTATATATGCTTCTTGGAACAAGCTGTTGCATATGGAATCTACTGTTGCTTTCTGTTACTGGCTACTAAGCCACTGTTAACATAGACAGCTACTGATAGCTTTATCTGTGGAATCAGTCTGTAATTTTTCCTGTTTTATGGAATTTGTATAATGAGCCAGGATAGCTCAGTGAGTAAGTGATTGTGACTATGGGCTGGACAACCAGGGTTTGATTCCCAGCAGATGCAGAGATTTTTCTCTTTATGACTGCATCCACAGCCCTGACCCTCTATCCAGTGGATTCTGGGAGGGTTTTTTTGAGGGGTTGGCAGGTGGGCAGAGCATACAACTGACCACTCTTCTACATTGTTTGAAGGTTAGTGTGTGGCACCATACCTTCGCTTCCTTATATATATTTGTGGTGTGTTTCTTAAGCACGTGGATAACTTATGATACATACATGACCACTAAATGCCTTTATGCACTGTACCATCTTCTGACAGATATGCAAAAGTGTATAGTTCTTCTGTGAATCAGTGAAACAAAGGGTATTTGTTATTAATAGCATGTATATTTTTTATGTCTACCAGTGTTGCTGTAAGAATGACTTGCTGAAAATGTGAAACTTTCCTGAAATTTGCCTTGAGATAAGATGTGAATTAGTAATAATGTTCTCTCTGAAATAATTGTTATGATTATTTTTAATATATTTGCTATTTGTTGTGTATTGTGATTCTTCTTTTGAATGGGTTTTATTGTACTCATAACTGTAGATAGGAAATGAGTGGGTTGGCTCAGCTTTAATGCTTCATGACTAGCTTGGAAGAATTTTAGAGCACAGTAAACTCTGGAATAGGTGCTAATGGATGGGAGAACCATGTGGATAATAAGGAACACCAGATGATCTACTACTGTATTTGTATACCCTTATGAAACAACTTGCTTTATAAAAGTATTAATATATTTGAACTAATTTTCTTACATTTTTGTAGATACATGTCACTAATGTTCTGCAGGGGTCACTAAAATGCTTTCATAGTTCATTATATATAATTTAAATTCCCTGATTTTAATTTTTTGGCTTAAAATAAAATTGTTCCATTAAAAATAGCCTTTGTTTTGTCTCGTAAGGCTAAGGCAGAATTGTATTCTAATGACTTGTGTTTGTTTTTATAGAAGGAAGAGAAGATACGATTGATCAAAATCCGGCTGCAGGAGCGTGATGCTTTGCGAGGAGGACTAACAGATGGGCGCCTCCCTCCTGGTACCACTCCACAACAGGATTCCACTGCCAACACAGGTCTGACTGCTAACAAAGATACCCTTATTGTAGCTGATTTTATTACTGGAGAAGGCACTTCAGATTCTGCCTTTGGTGGGGGTGTGTCTGTCTATACTCGTAGTTCAAGAGCAAGTCAATCTGACTTTGAGTTCTCTGAATCATATCTTTAGATCACTTGCTCTTGAGGTACAGAAAGTTAATAATGTATAGATATGAGCAAAGACAATACAGTTTCTTTTCACAACACTTTTAAACTCATCTTATAGGACATATGAGAAATGGAAGATGATAAGGATAGGTGGGATGCATGCACCAGTGCAGTGGAGGTTTAAAAACTTACATTTCAGTTAAATGTGATTTAATAGGGCTAAATTTCAAGTAGGATATAACTGGTGTTCACTGATGGCCTACTAAGATGTCACAGTACATTCAGTAGTGATTATTATTCTTAATTGTTGTATCAAGTCAATTTCCAATAGGATTCTGCTTAAAGATTTTTAAAACATTGTGACCACAGAATAACAAAAGAAGCCAATGCTCAGTTATCTTCGTCATTGTCATAATCTATCATGATGCTCATATCAAAAGATTCTAAAGATCTGTTGGTGTGTTTTATTATCTAAAATCTTGAAAGTTTGCATAAACATATTTTTAAGATAAAAGTATCTTATTTGTGCTTAAATTAATATAGACCACTGGATTAAGCTCCTTCCTACAATTTTATCTCTCATCGTATACAAAGTTGGGCTTTCCTTTCCTGGTTATTTTTTGTTGTCACTGAATAGTGATAACACTATGTGACATGAGTTAAAATTTTCATATAAGAAAATTTTTATTTAATTTTTAAAGAACAGAGCAATATTTGTGAGATTTGAGGTTCTCACAGCAGTGAAATATCAGTGTTGGTCCTCTGGGTTGTAACACTGTAGACTTGTAGGTAGATACCAGCATTTCAGGAAAACATGGTTCCTCCAAAACACTGCTATATACTTAAAAGTCTGCACAGTATTACTATCAAGTTTCTCCAAAATGTTGGTATCGTGCCTGCAAGTCCACATGGCATTTCAACCAGAATTGACACACTGACAGAGCAATATATGAATGTTTCATTTGCAATATATTTATATCATTATTGCTAGTACTTGTCCGTGTGTGTGTGTGCACATGCATTCATGTTTGTGGATGTGTTTGACCTTCCTGTTGTAATGGGCATTCATATGTAAATTACAGTCGTAAGTTTCATGAAAATGTAATATAACCACAAGGAAAGCTTGATATGAAGACATTTATAAGTGTGTTTTACATTTCATGCATCAGATCAAATTTGTTTCCAGAATATTAAATGTGTTAGGTTTCTGTTGTGCATGTGTTCCCCTGTATATCTTGGCTGTATTTAAAGCTGAGGATTCAAAGTATGGTAAGTAGTGTCATTAGCTAAAGTCTTTTTATATAAAGTTATATAGATGGGGATTCTTCACTGAAGTGCAGTTATGTTTACATAGTATAAATCAGCAGTTTGTACATATATTTATGTGTATACAGTGCACTGGGAACTGTTGTCTTCTTCCTCCTAAGACATAAGCGAGTCATCTGATGACCAAGCCTCTCCATCAATCTATATCTTCCCACAGCTTTTCCTCAGTTTCTTCCATTCCTCTGTGACACCTTTCCTAGTCTCTATTTCCCATTTTGATCTGAGTCTCACTCTTGGACATTTTACTTTTACTTTCATATTCAAAACTCTCTTTGGAGTTCTCTCGTCACTTATTCAAACCTGTCCATACCGTTTCATTCTGTAATTTGTTACTTCATCTTTCAGGGTGTTTAACTTTAAATTCTCCCTTATTTTTTTCATTTTATATTCTGTCTCGCTTTGTTTTTTCTTCTGTACTTCTTTAAAATTTAATCTCTTTTACCATTTATCCACTAATATCTTACTTGGTCTGTGGCCATGTTTCTGCACCATTTGTTAATGTGCATGTAATAACTTCTTAATAGACATATTTTTCCCATAGGATTTTTCCATTTACAGATTATGCCCCTTACTAGTTGGAAAAATTTCTGTATTCTTTGTTCTTTCAGTAATTTCTTCATTAGCACATCTATCACTGTTTTACATCCTTAAGGACAGGACAAGAATTTATCAAAATTTATTACAGCAAATTTAAGATACTTTCTTGAAATTAGAAATTTAAAAATTAAAATTAAAAAAATATGAAATAAATTGTTATACTCAGCTAAGGTAAAAATTATGGCAGTCTTAAATTTCCACTCTAAAACTTAATGAATTTCTTCACATCTTGTAATGTTTTTGCAAGTAATTTCATATTTGATGTATGAGTAATTAATATTTTACTTCATGACTTTGAGCAACTCAGAGTACCTTGAACTGTAAGTCTTATAAGAATTCTAAAGGATTACAAATAAAGTAACATTATCAGATTTTGATATGTAAACATTAGTTTGCTCTTCAGATAGTAATTATCATCTGAAGTGATACAGTTGAGTAATTGCCAGTTAAGAATACTCATCTGTTATAGAACATAAGAGCATATAATTTATTATTATATACATATATTTGCATGTATGTTTTTTCTTTCTTTCTTTTTCTTTTCACCCAGTTAATTCTGCATACTGTTTTTTCTGGTTTTGAATACATATTGCTTGTAATAATAGTAATGGGAAGTCTTGGTGCTAGTGGTAGAGACAGAAGCAACAGTAGCAGCAACCACTTTTAACCCATTTTCTCTGTGTATTTTTAATTTAAGATCTTGCTTGGCCATTATATTGTCATAAAAGTAAAGTAAAAAAAGTTTGTCCCGCTACATGCCATAAAGGCGCTTGGGGTGAGTGGAGGTATAGCTCCTCTCTTTCTTGACCTCGGCACTAGATGGGGGTGAGTGGTAGCATCACGCCCCGGCCGGCTTTACCCCCAGGAAAGGACCCCCGGTACCCATTGTAGAGGAGGCTGGGTGGGCTGCAGAGCTGGTCTGGATGCAGAGGCTAGAGGAAAAATCCTCTGTCCCTGTCAGGGATCGAACCCTGGTCGTCCAGCCCGTAGCTAGTCACTATACTAACTGAACTATCCCGGCTCATTGTCATAAAAGAGGTCTGATTGTTTTAACACATATACCAATAGTCCTGTTTATGTGGATGAGAGGATGTTGAGAGAGACATTTTATATCTCTCATGAAAAATGGACAGGAGGCTCACATTATTTCACTGAATGATATTGTATAGTATTTCTTATATGAGTAGAACAACTTTTTGAGAGTACATTTTTAAAACACATTTTCAGAAACATGCCACAATGTTCACACTTGTTCAGCCATTTGAAATGGTGATGATTTTTAAATATATTTATTACGTAACTACAAGTGGTGAAAAATTTATAATTGAATATCACATATTTTTGCACACTTGCATTTGACAAGTATTTTATAGTCCTTTTAGCAACTGGAATTGTAACTGTTGCTACAACATTTACAGCATGGCACATTTGTTATTACAACTGCAAAGAACTAGTACATAATGCATTTGGGCAGGTGTAAAAGAAGGAGAAAATGAGTGGGGTGCAGTTAGTAGTCATAAGATATTTAAATGCCATATCAAAAATCATTGGTTTCATGATGATACTCAAAAGAGAAAAATGTTTCACTTAGCATAAAGAAGTAGCATTGGCATAAACGTTTATGAATGGTCCTTTTGTATATAGAAATTGGCAAGTTTGAAATTACATTTACAATAAATCACAGAGCATTTATTTTCCTCAGTTTGGCAGATTCTGGGACAATATGTTATAATGGACCTTAATTGCAGTCTTCCATAAACTTCAAGTTAATTATTTGGCAACCAAATGTCATGATTGAGTGGTCAGCACAACTGCAGCATATTTGAGAGGTCCCAGGTTTAAATCTCAACCTAGAGAGTAGCTGTCCTGACTGAGGCTTTTTGTGGTTTAACTCAGTCCCTCCAGGTAAATTCCAGTGTAGTTTCCTAAATTAGGTCACAACTTCTTCCTTCCACATCCTTTCCAATTCATTGTTCACTATCATTCACTTATTTGATGCTGTATCATCTGAGATACTGAAAGCATCATTAAATAAACTATAAAGAAAAAAAAATTATTGGCACTGTATGATCAATACAGTTTAAATAAAGTGTTTTTAATTAACCCACCATGAAATCAACCTGTCATCAAATCTTGGATTTATTAATGTTAAATGTAGTGAAAATCAGTGTAAATTAGGCAGAGAATTAAAAGATCTTTCAATGTCAAGGGCAAACGATAATAGAATATTACAGAAACTGCACTGCTGCTTTTCTTTACCTGCACAACTCCATGGTATGGGACCTTCATAAAGCAGTTCACAGTTATTCAACTGGTTAAGAAATTTTCTATTTTTTTAGAGCTTGAATGTTTATCACCATGTTTACAAGAGATGGTCAGTTTGTTTGGTGCATTAGTTTCATTGGTGGCATGGCAAAGGGGGGTAATAGGAATACAATTCACAAAGAACCAGTCTGGCCATATCATAGGATAGTTGGTAAGTCACTGGTTTCTCACCATAGAAGCTTTGCTAATACATTAATAGATTTCCAGAATGGATGTCACTTTTATGTATTCTAGCCCTTCTGCCACTCCACACCTTGTTCCACAGGGTTTGAGAGGCCAGACCCAAACAGTAGGTTTTCACCCATGTTTATCCCACTTCAGTACGAATATTTACCTTGGCACTTTATCAAACTTTCTAAATTATGTTTTCCCATCATTGTAAGGGACCATATTTCATCCCCATGCAAAGTAAATATTAAATACATTATTTAAAATGGATCAGATAGAAATTTTCAGTGGAATAACAGTAATAGCAATACCCCGAAATAGCTATCTATTTCACGCGTAATTGTTATTTTAACGTTTTAAAGATCAGAAATCTAAATGTGTAGTGTGTTTTCTCATGTGCTTTAAAAGTAAAAGTAAATTTATTAAGTAGGCTCCAAAAACGTGACATTTTGAATGGCATGGCTTCTTAAATGGTCGCACTTGCGTATCAAGCTGGCAGTGAAATTCTGAATTAGGAACACTCAGGTCGGGGTATATTCTCCTACTTTCATGTATCCCCACCTATTGGCTTGACACACGCTGTGAAAAGTCGCGGTTGTGTAGCATACTAGGCCTTTCCGCGTTGGACTGGTCGGTGTTGAGTAGTGGTTGTGGTGGTTCTTTTTGTTGAAGTTACACGTGCAAGAGTTTGAAGCCATAAATACAAAATAGCTTAAAAGTATTAATATTCCATCATGGCTGATTATTTGATTTGTGGTGGTGCTGGTTATGTTCCGGAAGACGGCTTAACAAGTGCCCAGTTATTTGCGAATGGTGATGGATTAACGTACAACGATTTTATCATTTTACCCGGATTTATTGATTTTACTGCAGAGGAAGTGGATCTCACATCAGCTCTTACAAAGAAAATAACATTGAAAGCTCCATTAGTTTCCTCACCAATGGATACAGTTACTGAATCTGACATGGCCATAGCTATGGCATTGTGTGGAGGTATTGGTATGATACATCACAATTGCACCCCAGAATATCAAGCTAACGAAGTTCATAAAGTGAAGAAATATAAGCAGGGCTTCATTAGAGACCCAGTCGTTCTCAGTCCTAACCACACCGTAGGTGATGTGTTTAAGGTAAAACGAGAGCATGGATTCTGTGGAATTCCTGTTACTGTCAGTGGGAAACTAGGTGGCAAATTAGATGGCATTGTTACATCCAGAGATATAGACTTTCTAGATGAATCAAAAGACAGCTGTCTTAAGTTGGAAGCTGTGATGACAAATTTTGATGATCTAATAACAGCTTCCTCTAATGTGACACTCCAGGAAGCTAACAGCATTTTGGAGAAATCAAAGAAAGGCAAACTGCCGATTATCAATGATCGAGAAGAGCTGGTAGCACTGATTGCTCGTACAGATCTACAGAAATCACGCAGTTACCCGAATGCATCAAAAGATGAGAACAAACAACTTCTTGTAGGTGCAGCAATAGGTACTCGTGAAGAAGACAAGCACAGACTTAAGTTGTTGTCACAGGCAGGTGTGGATGTTGTGCTGCTAGATTCATCACAGGGTAACTCAGTGTATCAGATTGATATGATTCGTTACATCAAGCAGACTTATCCTGAGTTGCAAGTGATTGGTGGTAATGTTGTGACAGCAGCCCAGGCCAAGAATCTGATTGATGCAGGTGTAGATGGTCTGCGAGTTGGAATGGGAAGTGGCTCAATTTGTATTACTCAAGAGGTCATGGCAGTGGGGCGTCCTCAGGGTACAGCAGTGTATCGTGTAGCAGAATATGCTCGTCGTTTTGGTGTACCTGTGATTGCAGATGGTGGTATTCAGTCAGTAGGTCATGTCTTGAAAGCACTGTCGTTGGGTGCTTCCACAGCAATGATGGGTTCCCTAGTGGCAGGCACTTCAGAAGCCCCTGGAGAGTATTTTTTTTGTGATGGTGTTCGAGTGAAGAAGTATCGTGGTATGGGTAGTTTAGAAGCAATGTCTCGCAAAGATGCTAAAGGATCTGCAATGAATCGCTACTTCCACAATGAAAATGATAAAATGAAGGTTGCTCAAGGTGTAAGTGGGTCCATTGTTGATAAAGGATCAGTGTTGCGATTCTTGCCATATCTGCAGTGTGGCCTACAGCATGGCTGTCAGGACATAGGTGCTCGCAGTTTGTCCATTCTGCGTTCCATGATGTATTCAGGGGAGCTGAAGTTTGAACGTAGGTCCCAGTCAGCACAGATTGAAGGGAATGTGCATGGCTTGTTTTCATATGAAAAGCGATTGTTTTGAAAAATCACTGGACTGCAGTGGGCCACTCTCTAATTATTGGGTTTTCTACTATAGTATGTAACCTAAATAGATTATGAATCTACATACCATCTTCCAGGATACCATTGTGGTCATCCTCTTTTTTTTAAATGATGTTCATTTGAACATGCAAGTAATTTGCAAGTTACCTGGCAATTGGGGCACATATTCTATCTGATGAAATAATACATTGCTTGTCATCAAAATAATTTTTCATTATTGTGTATGTGTAAGTTATTTTGATAAGGGATGAAATATGAGGAGTTTGTATTTTCACACACTGAATTTTTAAACACAGCTGGATTTAAGTTATGATTTTGATAGTATTATTATGATGGAGTATTGAAGCATAAACTGAAAATCTATTTAAGATGTGAAATAACTTATGTTTTCGTTCTCTGCATATGACATTGGCGGAATCCCAGTGTTTACTTTTTTAATATTTTATTGACTAGCCCATAATCACAAAATCCTCACCAGTCATATTTGCCAATTGTTACATAGATTCAAGGAATGGTAAAATTGTGTGATGTGACATCGTGTATTTTGTGTTTATAAGTTTACTTCTTCGTCGTTACAAGTACCAATTAGTTTATAGGATTTTAGTCTTGATAACATGATTGTCATGCATAAAAGAACACTAGATTAATACATAGTGTGTATAGCTGCTCTTTCTCTGGGATGATTATCCACTGACCACACACACAAATTGCAACCACCAGTACTTAAAATGATGTTACACACACAGTTGCAGTGTGAATAATTTTAGTGGCAGTTGCTGTTAGCACTTAACAATGAATTATGCAGTTCCTGCCAGGAATGAGGGAGTGACAGTTGTGTTTAACCATGTCAGTGGACATGGTATGGTGTGATATTCCAGGACACACATTTATTATTTATTAAAAAATTTGCAAAGGAAAATTAATTTATTTTAATATCCAATTTTTTGTGGTGGTATGTTTTAACTACAGAAATTTTGTGATAATATTATAGGGATTGATGAACCTAATTTGTGACTTTCTATTAAAGTTTACAGCATGAAAGAGTAAGAAAAGAAGAATTCTGAGAATGGAACAAAGTATTTATATATTGCAAACACAGAATGTAGTATAATAAATAACTTCTTTATAGTATTGGTTAGATCTCTTTTGTCACTCTGTGTTAAATATACCCTTATATAGTGTGTTTTTATAAACACTTAAGTGAATCTGTCATTTCCTGACTGCTGGTCAGTGACAGCCTACCTTCAGCCAAGCACTATTATTAGTTCATCCCATTATAAGTCTAAAGTGAGTCAGCCAAGCTGCTGATGTGAGTTGATTTTGTCCCTGAATGAATAAGGTTTTAATTTTGTCAAATACTGGTTAGCTACATTGTGAATAAATTATGCTGCAGTAATGTTGAACAACATATTAATAAATAGTTGTCACTGTGAATGATGATAGATTCTTTATACTGTCACACGTGTTTTGTATAAATCATGTATTTGATGTATGGCACGACAAGAAAGTATTGGAAAATTTTGCTGTAAATTTTCCGAATTCACAGTTTTAAGCACAACAGGCAACAGTAAGCTTGTTAGTAAGTCAGGTGTGCTGGTTTACTTATGACTGAGACTGCCATTCAGAATGACATTTGCTTATTACAAAGAAAGTGGATGAAACCAGAACTGAGGTAGCATAGTTCATTTGCCTGATCTTAACATGTCTTGTTAAATTACAGGGTAACTTGAATTGTAATATATTCAGAACAAAACCTCATATAGAATAAGAATTTAAAGAAAACTAATGGAGCAGATTACTTAAGAAGCTGCTAATTATTGAGGTAGTTAAATTCACTGCCATCTGTGGAACCCAAAGATTTGCTATGATATTTATAAGACACCACCTCCAATTCAGTTTCTTAACTTCTACATTATTTATTTTTGTAAGATTAAATCTCCCAATTGTGCTGTAGTGTCTTTTATAGTGTTTAATAGTTTGTTTGTTCGCTTATTTTATATTCCGTTTTTGTTTTGTTGTGTTGTGGTAACATGCACTCTTAGCTATTGGATTTGGTGACATACTTTCACATAAACTCTTATTCCCAAATGTCTGTACTGACCTTTGCATTCAACAGTACTTGTGAACGTCTAATTTGCATCAGCTTCACCATGTTTAAACAATATAGAGAATGAAATGCTTTTGTTGTTGTTTCAGAGGAATTATAGGGTTATGTCAGGATTAAGTAATAGTGATTACCAGGTTAACTAGTAGTGTGCAATCAAAGGTAGGCTTTGCTTGCTGGTAGACAGGAAGTAAAGAATTCACACTGTAACAGAAATGTATAATTCTGTATATTGTATTTGAAATTTTCCTGTAATATTATGGCCTTTGTTATATTGATTATACATTTTTCTTTTGTAAACTGTCATATCAGAACAATGTGATGTTTCTTGGGACCATGTTTTGTCATATATTTATAAACATAAAATATTAGGCAGAAAAGTTTATATGTAGCAAATTTTATTGGTTCATGAGAATGAATTTTATTGTCAGTTCAAAAGTTCTCAGTAGAAGGGATGATGAATGAAACTAAAACTTCAGGCTAGATGTGCAGGGGTGAAAAGATATGTTGGTATCTAAAAAGATGCATAAACTTTCTGCGAACAGTCTGATAACAAAATCACTCTTGTTAATGATTTTTGATGTCTAGTTTTCATGTTACTTGAAAACAATGGCCATTAATGAACAAGAAACTTGAATTAAGGTATTATGTTCTGGAAGTTGCAGAAGTACTTTTAATTTCAGTTGAAAAATATTTTACATAATTGGGAATTTTTATGTATGTTGGACATTGTTTCAGTCATTGTAAATACAATGTTCGGAGACAAAATTTTTGGGACTGCAACAGATCTTCATTCAATATCTGTATCAGTGCATTTTTTCATTTGTCATTGTGGACAATGATCAGCAAGCTGCAGAAACAATAAGAATATCATTTCCTGTGTGATGAGCCACTCTGTACGCTATATGACTATCACAGTCGTAGTAGTGCTGTCACTCTGTGTAATATTATGTATTATTGAATATTTTATACTTTGTAAGTAGGTTGTCAGATTTTATAGTAAATGCTAAAAGTGTCTTCCTTAAGTCTGCTGAACTTGTGCCAAACCTTTTATTATGTTCTTTAATTTATTTTGTATTTTTTTCATAAATTATAATGATAACAGAAGCACTTGCATTGTGTGAAAATGTTTCACAATTGTAGAGGAGTAGATTGCTACTAGACAGCAAGGTACAGTTCTGTGGGAAAGTGATGACCTGTTTACTACAGACTGTCCCTTCATTATACTTGGGTCTCATTACATAAATTACCCTATTTATCCTTAATAATTTAAACTTACTGTTCACCAATCCATATCCAGAGTCATGAATCTAATCCAAACCCTTAAATCCTGTTTCTGTTATGTCCATTTAATATTATCCTTCCATCTGTGCCAAGGTCTTTTGAGTGGTCATCTCCCTTCGGGCTTTCAAACTAAAATGTTGTATCTATTATCTCCCTCGTGTTCTATCAGTTCCTGCTGGGAGACAGGAAATGACACTTGCATTCAACTTTATTAGTGAATGCACTGTGCTATAAATGTAGGATGCAGAAATGGCATAAGATTGCATAGCATCATGTTGAAACCAAACTTTGTTGCATGACTCTGTTTTTAAAACTGCATGTTTTAGAGTCCCTCAGTATTTAATTAATTCAGTATTTTCAGTATGATGAACTTTTGTGTCATATTGACTTTAGCTTTGGAATTCATCTTGTTTTTGATCTTGATGCCAATTTGTAGGTGTCTTTTTATGCTTTAGTATAAGTGAAGAACATCTTATGGTCGGCCCTATCCTAACATGAAAGTTGATCTGCACTTCTATTTTTGATGATACTTTGTCATAATGACAGATAATTTCACATTACCACTCAAAATGGAAATGTAACCTGGAAAGGCTGGACATAAAAATAATTCTAATTTATTACTCTTTCACTGACACAATGAAATTCCTTGAATTTTGATATCTCTGAGGTATGTTTTGATACATTATAGATGTTTAAAAACTGTTTATTGCCATATTCATCTGCAGGAACAGTACAATTCATAGGTGTCTAGAAAATTTGATCCTGATGTAACACATCTGTATTGTTTATATTTGTAGATATGTTTCAGTATTTATGGTAGGATACAAATATGTAGTTTCTGCATTTTTCATGTTCATAAATTGAAAGTCAGTTGAAGTAAACTTTGAGAGTACTTAATTTACAGGTCAGAGAAAATCCTCTAGCTATGTGCATAGTGATATACTGAAACCTGTATTTAGAGGCACATATCAGTGATTTTAATGTCTAAAGGATGATTTAATGATGTGTCAGCCCCAGCAGTTTCTGTTTGTTCTGTTTTCATTCAGTGTCATAGCATAATCAAATGCCATTATCCTTTAATGTCTTGGTTCTATTTGTGGACAGTTTTTCTTGTTTGTTATTATGTATGCCTCTGTTTTGAGTGCTTTATGAGAACTGTAAAATCTCGTTATAACAAATTCCTGAAATAGTAAGAATGAATTCATATCTCAGAAGACTCCCAAATTTATGTTGAGCAGGACAGCCTGGGGTATAGTTTGTTGTAACGAGATTTTTAAATTTTGTTTAGTTTTGGGGGCCATTCATAAGCTGTTAATGTTGTAAAATTTTGCACCTTTATCAGGTGCTGTTTAAAACCTTCTAAAACTGAAGAAAAATTTGGGAGTCCTGCTACTAACACAGTACAAACATAATGAATTGTATTTTTTTAGTTTGCATTAGATGCAACATTGGTGTATCTACATTACTTAAAACATTAAATGTCCTTAAGACACATGTGTTATGGAACAAATACAGATTTTGATACCAAGTTATTGGATCTTTGTCTTTCCAGTATATGTATTCTTAATTTGTTTCCATTGAATTTTCAGAAAGAGGAAATTGAACACATTTGGTTTATGTTTATGAATGGCTCTTGAACTTTTATAATATAGTTTATTTTTATAATATGGACTGGATTTTCTTATGAACAGAGTGAAGCAAGCTGAATGAAGCAGTTATGTCAGCATATGGGCATCATCATTGGAACTTCTGTTGCGTGTCCCTGAGTGATATCTTCAATGATACATTTTTAGCAGTTGCATCTGGTTTCCTTAGGCTGTGCAAAGTATATCAGTTTTACTTTTGTGAGTGATAGAGGTGGGTGGTGATATTGAATTAGTTCTTCGTTATATAGTCACCAGTGTTATATAGTTAAAATAGATATAATAGTGAATAAGTGATTATTTATTAAAAAGTTTTGTCTTGTCCATACTGTGGATTCTTGTAAATATTCAATGAAATCAAAGGGAAGGGAATTGTTATAACGAGATTTTACTCTTGTAGGAATTTCATTCGTTATGTTTATTTGAGCTTGTTCATAAAAGAAAGGAAATCATTTAGCATAAATATGGTGATATGTGGTGAGTGTGAACCAGTGAGATTGTATATTTCCCTCCTTTCAAGAAAGGTTTGACAGTTACTATAGGAACTTCAGTTAATTACTTTGTGTGTTTTGTAGGAAACAAATTGTTTGTGAAAGTATATCTGGGATCTCTTGTTAGTTTATCTTGTGTTTAAGAGGTGGGAAGTTGTTCAGCATAAATATGGTGATGTTTATGTGGTGAGTGTGAGCCACAACTTTTACATTTCCTTCCTGACAAGATAAGATTGATAGTCTTTACTCAACCTACTTCAGTTAATTGCTTTGTATATATTTTTAAAAAATTGTATCTCTGTTGGTCTTGAAAATGAGTCTCCGATGTCTGGCTATTTTATTCTGTGCATAAAAGAAGGGATATCATATATGGTGATTTTTATGTGCTAGGTGCAAGCCAGTGAGTGTACATTCCTTCCTTCCAGGAAAAGGTAAAAAAAATTGTTACTTTATCCACTTCAGCTAGTTCCTTTGTATATTATAGACAGCAGATTTTGCCTATTCTTCATAAAAATGTCTCTCTGATCATTGCCATAACATTTATATAATTGTTGAAGTAGTGAGTTTAAATGTTGTTTATGCATCTTGATTAGAATCATGTGCGAAAGAGATTATTACAGGGTAGTGCTTGAAATTATACCCAGTTGAATGTTTCAATAAAAGCTTTAATATTAATGTAATGGAACATATATCTATTAACACAAGGAACAATGCATAGAGATTTATGTATCCTTAATGCATTACATGCCCAGTATGGGCCCAGTTTTGTCATAGAACTTCTGAAACTCAAAGCCTACATTTGTGATCACTTGGAGGCATGTCATATCCTCCGTAATTTCACCACACATTTGAACAGTTGAAGTCCTGAATTGCTGCTGCTTTTTTTTTCTTTTTTTTTTCCCTCTCTCCCTCCCCTTAAGGTACTCAAAAGGAAGGTCACGTGGTTTTATATCTGGGCTGTTGGGTAGCCATCGATATCCTGCACTCCATGAATGTGGACAGAAGTTGCCGTCGAACAGCCCAGACATAAACCCTTGTGACTTCTTCCTTTGGGGTTACCTTGTGTCAGATGTGTGTTGGCTGTTCGTGTTTTGAAAGTTGTGTGACTGAATGGTGGTCATATTGAGTGTGTAATCCATAAAGGATAAATCTTCATCAATTGTTCTTTGTGTTGATAGATACACGTGTACTATCATATAAATATTAAAGCTTTTATTTAAACTTTCAGTTGGGTATCCTTTTGTGCAGCACTCTGTACATTCATTTTATTTTTCATTGTTGCATTGAGGCTGACTTAGGTCCAAGTTGAAAGAGACGAAAAATGGCCATCACACTACAGTTATTCTGTATTCAGATGTGGCACGCTGTGAAGTTTATAATTTTAAGATGTGCTTTCTTATGTTATAGACGTATGTTGTAGATAATATTGGTGAGATACTTTCATGTAGTAGCTGTTAGAAATGTTTTGTCTTTTAAGAGGTGACATGTGAAACTTTATGACCCAGGATGTGGTTTGTTAACATTTAATTCTGTTAATAGTAATTATATGTGAGTTTAATAATCTGATACTGTTTTCTGTTGTTTTTTTGTGTATAGGGAGCAATTATATGCTGATCTGGTAATACATGTGCGTATCCAAACATAGTACTTATGAAGCAGTGTGAAGTAACTGCCCTTTCCCACACAAAGGTTGAAATGAGAAGGTTCTGTGTAGGGCCTAATTTTGAATCAAAGTTTTGGGTTATGTGTTTAGAATGCTGGATGCACTTTACTTCAATGCCATATTGACATTCATTATGAACTATTTTACACATCTTGGCTTGGCTGTGGAATACAGCTTTGTGCTTCCGTTTAAGGGGAAATTATGAGTTCTTCAATAGCATTTGGTTTTATTTTGAAGTGCTTGTGTGCAGACACTTGATAATGACATGTGTACTGGTCATTCAGGTGCATTTCATTCTGCGTGTGGTACCCAGGATAAATTTGCTTACTATACAGATGGCAGCCTTTAATTATTCTTTTTCTGCAGTAAATACCATTCAGCCATCACTTGATGAGTAAAATATTGGCAATACTGTGGGTTCAGTTCAATTCTGGAGATTGAAGCAAAGATATATACGTACACATGATGAGGATATTTGGTAACTGCGCTGGTGGCACAGCATGGCATTCCCACTGTGTGTGACTGCTGCATTTCTTATTTGCTGTGTGTATGTGCACTGCGCGTGTGTATGTGAACATTATTTTGTAATCTCAGTAATTTTGAATCAATGAAAGGTTGTTTAGATTGCCAATTTTAATAATCTGGGGATAAGTTTCTGTGGCATGTGATTTACATGTCGGTTCTGAGGATTGGGATAAAAATAAAAATTGTTGAATAACCATTTCATCTATCCTTCATGTGTATCTGTTATCATTATTTGTCATTCCATTAAAGCTCCTTGTCTCCAGGTGCTTTGACTCCAAGATGATAATAGTTTAGCTATGTACATTACATTTTAATGTTATCGTGGGTGCTGGCTACCCCTTCGTCCCCTCCCAGTGTTCCTCAGTATCAGCTTATGGTGATGTCGGAACTGGCTGGTCGCATATACGTTAATCACTTGCACTCTATAGAAACAAACCGCAAAAGGGTCAGTGTTGATCCAGTGATTACGAGTGGGCGCAAGATAGGCGAAAATGGAGGACCACATCAAACCAGTCGAAAGACTGATGACAAACATCATCATAATGTGTTAGGTGCAAGATGAAACATCAGTTTTACTGTGTTTTGCTGTGTTAGGCATATTTACCTAAAAGGGAAAAGGATTTTAGGATAATCAAGTGATGGCCTGTTGGCTTTTTAGCCATTGGAACTGTTACGAAGTCATTGCATATTTTAATAAAGCACTTGACAATCACCTGCTGTTTCTGTGTTGCCTTTTTAATGTGCAATAGTAGTCCTATAATTTTTCAGTGAAACGCTCATTTCTCTGTGCTCTTATTACAATGGTATCTGAAATGTACTTGGGTGTTTGTTTATTTGTGGTTTATTAATCATGCTGTTAGTACCTTAGACTGTATAGTTGCAAATGATATGAGTAGTTAATATTAAAGTATATATGGAAGGAAGCAGTCATGACCTAATTAAAGATATCTTGGCATTTGCATATAAGGATGGTGAAATACGTTCAATTACTGCAGTCCAAAATATGAAGCACAAGTGCTAATGAAGCCATGACATTCAGTAAAATATGCTTGGAACACAGTCTGTTTGAATATCATTATGAGCTCTTCTGTTCATATTCATAAGGTCCTCAAGGTAAATTCTCAGGCTTGGAGACTTACTGAGGTTTTTATCAATCTGTTCAAATGAATTATTGGATATTGCCCATGAATACTTTCCTGCTGTTATCAATTTATTATTCTGTTTCACCCTGCTGATTGAGGTTTCCAAGTCACAGGACATTATATTATTATTCACTCTGCTCTTTGATCCTATGTAGCCCTAGCAAATGCACTTGAGAAAACATGTTATGTGAACCAATAGAGTTGTCAACACTTGGTCCGCTATGTGTGCAGTGAACTAGATTCTTGCCACAAAGCTTGCTTAATTGCTATAGCTTCTGACACCTGTCAAGTTGAATACTTTGCTGTGAAGCAGATTTGCATATACAGCTAGCCTTCGATTTGCGCCGATTTTGAAACCAGCAAGTCAAAAAGTGAAGAAGAAAAAAATTTACTATTATTTATAACGTTTTACAATGTGTCTCGTACTGATTCTTATACTAAATCGTAATTCTTACATCGCTGATTTTGAATAAAAATTACAAATATTGTCATCTCTGCAATTACCTTTTTCGTTAACGCGAATTTGCTCCAGTGAGATCGATGAATCGGTAAAAGCTGTTTGTGAAATGCAAACTTTTGCATATGCGAGTTTGCTATTATGTAATTTCATTCCTGGCGCTTTTAAACTTTCAAAGGACTAATTTAATCTCTGCGGAGGTACCGGGCTTAATTTTACTACGCAATTTTCTATAGGTCGGCGTCTTACGTCAATCGCGGGGACCAACGAATTGCCGATTGTGAGTGTATAAAATATTTTTTTTAAATTCCCTTTATTTTAATTACGTTATTTCAGAGCTTTAAATGTAATGCCATTATATTACTCGTCAATGTTTGGGTGCTGGGAACGCATGCCATTGACTTCCCATTGATTTACATTATAAAAATTTGAATTTACGCCGGTTCGTCCAGGAACGCATCCCCGGCGTAAATCGAGGGCTACCTGTATTCACAATTTTGTAATAACCATTTTCTTGCGGAGTTACTAAAATATTTATCAGAGTTTTTTATGTGAACTCAAAAATTAATTTTTTTTAGTGGCAGTATTTCTTCCAATAGGTCCAGAGCAGGGACATTTCCTCAAGTCGTCATAATTTCTACCTCCAGAGGTTTGAACGCATTTGGCTGTGCTTTCCCATTTCAACTGGTTCAGCTGCATAATGTCCAGTTTTCACGTTTAATTTTGCAGATGTGGTTTACGTTTGTACTGATATTTCATATCCTGAGGATAGGAACTTGCTACAATTTTTCACTTTTTCTTAATTGAAAGATAATAATATTTGAGCTGTTTCTTAATTGAAAGATAACAAATAGATGATAGGAAGTATGATTGTCTTTATCAAAGATCTTAAAAGTAGTTTTAATACAGAATTATTTTATAAAATTTGTACAAAATGTAGTTCTAGAGGACATTTCTTAACTTATCAACTCATATTGTTATTAAAAATTAATATTCCTTATGTGATAACAAGATTATTTTATGAAATAGGTTTCTAAAATGGCAGTGAATGATTTCTGAGATTTTTTCCAGTTAAGTATATCATCCAGTCTTAATAATATATAAGCTAGACATTTTAGCATTGATGAACACTTTTGTGAGGAATGCACATAAAATAAGTGCACTAACACCTTTAAACTATCATTATTAAGTAGTAAGTGTAAAGATGTAATAGCATTTGTAAATAATTTATATACCACTAGTATGAATAATTGTTTGTTTTTTTTGGTCCTAATATCTTGCTGATAAGAATAGAACAATATATTTGGACTACGTGTGTTATGGAAATATACTGAAATTCTGTTAATTGCCTGCACATTGCACACCATTTTACTGAGTTCACATCTTTGATCTGATACTGGTCGGATACTCTAGGGCCCGTTTCAAATGTCTACAGTTGTGGATTCACAGTCACTTGAAACACACTGGCCCAACCTCAAACCCAAATGCTTGATGTGGTAAGCCATAGTCTACTGGATAGAAATCGACTATAGGCACGTTGCCAAGCATCTTTGTACGTACTTCGAAAACTGTCTCACTTTTGCTCTTGCGTGTCTGAAAAAAATAATTGCCACACGTGAACACAGCAAAAACAAAAACGAAAAAAAAGTATGTAAAAATTTTTGGGAATATGATATACAATGGGCAGAATGAAATTATATTTCTGAAATTAATCGAGGTTGAGGTTAATAAGATTTATTATTTCATTAATCTTAAAGAATGTAATGTGGTTATAAATGTTTTCAAGATTTTGCTGTGTTGCAAAAGTATGCTCCTTGATATAACTAAATTTTATAGTTTTAGATACTTATTTAATGAAGCTATGCTGAAAATCATTCATTTTGTTTATAATTGTTGAATTACTGTAAAATAAAAAAAATAGGAATTTATATTTTTATAGGCATAGGCTGAGGTGCTCTAAGCATGTAAAGAAACAAAAAAACATGTTTATCTGCATGTACAGTACGTTAAGTTTCAATCATCCAGGGTTGCCAATCTGGAACAGTGATAAGGTTTGCTTTTGTTATGTTATCCATCTAATGCACTCCGATTGTGAAGTAGTTATTTTGTAATTTGGCAGTCCATACAAAATAATATGGTGTGTGACTTTTCTACCAGTTAGACATTTAATGATGGTGTCTAAAAGAAATACAATGTCTCATATTAATTCCATTTAGATGGAAGAAATGAATTTGGAGCTACTGCAGTTTTGAATATGCCCCTGCAGTCCTGTTCAAAAATAACTCACCTTGCATCCATCAACTAGAACACTGGGTCTTATTCCCTCTGTGCCGTATTCAATCTCATTTTCACCCAGCAATTTTATTGCCATGTCATGGTTGTTGGTCTTCGGGTTAAACCAAGCAGCTGAATTGATACAGGTGTATGTGAAATTCTGATATGCCTCTTGGCTTAACAGCCGTAGGAATGTCATCTGTACAACTCCTATTGTTTCGTATGTGATCTGAAACATTTTTAACAAATATTTTCTTGGTGTTACTATATACCAGTGTTTCTCAAACTCTGTTGCGCGGAACCCCGGGATTGCTCGAAGTAATCTCGGGTTCCGCGAAATGATTGTCTATTCGCGGACTAATTCATATGAAAATGCCTTTGTTATCACAGTAAAAAAAGTTATCTTTATTCGCCTTTAACTTCCACTATACGTGTTTAAAGAAACAAAGTTAAGTCACTTAGAAGACTGAGTGGCGCTACCAGTTTTCATGAAGTTGGGGGTTGGTAGCAGTGTATTTCAATTTTACTGATATAAAACCTAAGTATTAATTAGTGTAATGCATTTTAACCCTCTTAGTGGATCACTGTTTCAAAACGGAAAATTTTAATAAAAAACGAAAAGGTAAATTACTCCATAACATGGAAATAATTAGGACTGAAAGTACGTCGGGTATCAGAGGACCGAAATAATTATAAATATGTTGACGGTTTCTCTATGCTGGTACAAAATTACGGAATTTTCATGCAAAGCATGATTATGGCGTTTTAAATGTAAATATTCAGTATTCTCAAATGAATCAAGACGTCATTAAAGGTGAAACAAATAAGTATCGTACATTGATTCATATTCTTCGTTGCTGTGAAGCCCATACGATTGCAGAAAATCTCGTATCAGCTTGCATAAATGACGTGATTTTGTGTGTGCTTAGTCAGTGGCGTCGAACGGTGTGAACGAGGGTCCAGGACCTCGCGTGTCTCACACCTGTACTTGTATTTATCCTAATTGACTTTTCTCCTTACATTGCTGTGGTTTACCCAATACATGTGCTTTTATGTGAAACCGACATCATTGAAGAAGGAATTGAGACAGCTTTCGATTAAAGCCCGTGGAGAGTAAACGACAATTTTTAAGTGCCTGCTATACAATTCCGTTGATGAAGGCAGATTTATTGTGTACTGTTCGGTCACATTATCACTCTTCATGTTACTGAGTAATTTGCAGCTTGTGCTAGCCTTCATCAACAATGACGTACGTTGTAATTCTGGGGCCAGTGTTTCTTGGCGGGGAAGATATGTCCGTAGCTTTTGAGTTGTGGAAGCAGCAGTGTTGTTCAGCGGACAGGGCTGTGTACTATGAGAAGTCGAGTGTTAAATGGGATTGTGATTTAGGTAGAAAATGTTTATCCGGTACATCCAAAAGAAAAATTAAGACTTTAGTTGGAGCTAAAGTGCATCTCTTCACAAATTTTTGAAAAGAAATGGTGTAGGTGTACGTAACAGAAATTAAGGTGAACATCTAAGTGGAGAGCCGGTGGAAGACTTGCATGAATCGAGTGAGTCAGTTCTAGAGAGGTAGTTTACAAATGGTTGAAATTATAATAACTAAAATGCCTTAACATGTATTTTTATGTTGCCGCGCGATTTGCTCCGCCTCTGCTGTAGATAATTACTTGCTTATCAAAGAAGTTCCACTTGCAGATTCTACAGTTTCGATAAGAATGCAAGACGAATTGTAATTTTGATTGTTAATTAACTGAAGGGATTAATTCATCAATGAAAACCGTGTGAGCCGAGGTTGTGAAAATTGTAAGTTTTACTAAATTAAAAAAAATAAGTGTTCTCTGTGAAGAAGTGGTAGGTAGCAGTTACACAGTGCTACTGCTGCACATTATCACGAGTCAGAGTTCTGGTTCCTCTAATCACACTGCACTTTGAAATTGTATTATTCAGTGTGGACAGTCTCTGCCACCTTTCATCACGTCTGTGTGATACTGCATGGCCACAGAGATTACAATACCTAGTAGGCATTTATACAAAGATAAATTCACAAAATTTATCATTCCAAGACGACTATGAAAATTACCTCTGCACGTTAAAAAACAGATTGTGCAAAATAGGACCTTGGAGAACATGCGTTGGAAAGTATCACATTGTTTTCAGGCGTTGATTGATTATTTGAACTTGAGATTTATGTCTTGTTGACATAATGGGACATTTACGAGACCTCCAACTTTTCTGAAAGTTTTCTTTTCCACCTGCGGTAAGTTTTCAGTGGTTAAGAAACCCAACAGACTCACAGAGCAATGGTTATAAACAAAACAATACGACTCTTTAATGAACGTTTGCACAGGCAATAGTTTGAAAGGTACGCAAATATACATAGGCAGCAGTGCCTTTATTAACTTTCGGGCTAGTCCAAAGAAAGAAGAAGAATTCCAAGTGTAACGACTTCTGCTTCCATGTGCATGTCTGTGAGAAGCAGCGTTCTCAAGATATGCAGCAACAAAGCGAAGTGTCAAAATGGGCTGAATGCAGATGACACCGTAAAATTTTACAAAACTGCCTGACTTGTGCTTAAACAAGCACGTCCAACCGCCGTATTAGGTAAGTACAACATAAAATAATTCCTAAAATATAGAGTGGATGTGATTTAACTTTATGCATATAAGGTTATAAATTTAAATAATTACTTAAAACAAGTTTTTGTTGGGAGGATTTTTCGAAAATATTTTATTAGCTAACTGGTTATGCAGCAGTGAAAAGTTTGAGAACCACTGCTAAAGAGAAATTAGATTACCTGCAGTCTTTCATAACATCTCTGTAGATGTGTAATCAGAATTGTTACAATTACTGCCTTGTAAGTATTTTTTTCTAAATTTTACACATTCTAGACCTATTTTTAAGTTATTACTACTTACCCTAAATCCCCCTCGTAAATTTGAATACCAGTCATTCGTATCTCCTTCCTTCCTCCAAGGGATGTTGGGCATATGACTGGAATGCATGTCAGGGAATACACAGGTTTCCCCACTCCCAGTAATATTGCAATAAACAAACACAGCATCATCTGACATGCCCAAGTTAGGGTCAATCCAGTACCATCCTATAATTAAATTCATAACATTGTTTTGTATTCAGTTTCAGTTATATTTTACTATATTCAGTTGTAGAATGTGAGAGATGACTATCTTCTGTGTTGTAGCACTGTAAATTCTGGTAGAAATTTACCAACATTTCAGAGGCCCTTGCTTCCTCCACCATCATGGCACTTATGAAGGCAGAAAGGACCTCTGAATTGTTGGTAAACTTCTACTATAAAAAGTGGCACTACAACCCAGAAGACAGCCATCTTTGTAAACAGTTGTACTGTTACAAAATCAACTATATAAAATTTTGTGCATTAGTCAATTGTCAACATGCAAGTCATCAAGATCAATGATGATATTCACAGTTCATAACTGAATAGTTTGTAGAGCACATTGATTATGGCCAGGCATGCCGCCGTTAAATTCAGGGTCCTTTATCTTTCCATCTCTAATCTATAAATGTAGAATAGAAAATTGTACAAAAATGTATTTTTATCTATTATCTTATATGAATTTGAACCTTGGAGAAAACTGCATAATGATGAGCATCATGTAAGATTTGAGGTTTTCACAGCGGTGAGTATGAAGATTTCTGTCTTGTGGGTTGTTGCGCTGTGTAGTATGGTCGATGTTAACCAACGTTTCAGATGAATATTCATCGCCCTGATGACGGAGGCAGTATGACCTTTGAAACGTTGGTTAACATCGACCAGACTACACGGTGCAACAACCCAGAAGACAGAAATCTTCATACTCATCGCCCTGATGACGGAGGCAGTATGACCTTTGAAACGTTGGTTAACATCGACCAGACTACACGGTGCAACAACCCAGAAGACAGAAATCTTCGAGGAGCATCATGTTTTATACTAGTCACAAAATATTACTAAGATGACTAAGTTTATTCAACATTTTAGTGAGAATTTGGAGGGAAGAGACCATTTACTTAGGTATAGATGGGATTTTAATATTAAGGTAGATGTTGGACAAAATGGTATAAGATTGCAGGTTAAGTTTAGTTGTCCTGGGAAAGAGCCCAGTAGTGTTCACTGCAAAAAATGGCCAGCTGGACTGCAAATAAACTGTAACACATGGCCAGTAAAGGTTATGCAACCAGAAAGTGTGATTTAAAGCAATAAAACAAGAAAAATATTTATTTATGTATATGAAATAGGAGGTCAACATGGCAAGCAAAGAGAAATTCTTAATTTCTGTTTTAGAATAAATATATTATACAGGGGATGGTAATGAATAATGTAATAACCCAGTCAGCTAGTCTCTTGTGATGACAATAGGACATATTAGAAGCTCCTCATTGAGTTTTAGCCTCCATTCAACTATCCTAGACCCAGATATATTACATAATGCTTTGTATTCGATCCGTGACCATAGTTTACGCCATAATCATTTTAAATTTTTAGTTGCTGTAAGTGCAAGAGTCAATGAATTGTGGAGGGGGGTGGAGTGAGTGGGTGGGTGTTCAGAAAGTGAATGGGTGGATGATGGACAAGGGACAATATCAGTCAGTGTGTAGTGAATGAATAAATGAATGGGTGGTTGGATGAGAACATCAGTGAGTGAAGAGAAGTGTAAATGTCGTAACTGAGTTAGTGCCAGCACAAACATATTCCTGAAACATATGTAAATTTTGAAATACATTTTTAACTGGACCATTAATGATCTCTTAATAAATATTGCATAACTGATCATTCACAAACCTGGAAGAGGATGATGAAATGTCATCTTTAGTGTAATTTTCTACCCAACTGTACATCTTAGTGTATAGGGCTAAAAATATTCTTATATGACACAGATGTTTCAAAGATGTGCTCATTCTAAGTACTTACATTGAATCAGTTTTGTACAAACACTTTTATTTTATTATAGTTCTATGTAGTTCTTGTAGTAGCAACATCTGTTTTCCAGTATCTGGTTTGTGTCACAAAGCCATATTAAAACTAGATTCCACCCCCTAAAACAGTTTCTGAAATTTTCCGCCATCTAATCCCATAATTTCACTTGGAGGTGCAAAACATTACAAATAAACATAACTTGGATCTTTGTTATTAACACTAAAATTTTTTCAGAGGCAGTATTGGTCATGTTACTAGGCTCTTGTATTCTAAACAAATGTGATTGCTCACCATCTTTAAATTGAGGGTGTCCATAGAAGAGGTCCTTGCAAGTCCTGACAGGATGCTCCCGTGTCCCAATAGGTTTCCTTATCCTGTCAAGGTCTTGCCTCATTGTGTAGATGGAGCTGTACATATCCAGGAACTTGCCACCAAGATCTTCTTTTATATCCCCCTTTTTAGATTTGTTCTTCTTTCCAACATCTTCAGTTATATTCTTTGCTATTTCTTTCCTATAAAAGATTATATGTGTATATATGTAGACTAACTAACTGCCCACCATTGTCAAAGTACGGCATGCTCCACACTTACTCTGGGTTCACGGCCCTCTTCTTGCGGTCCGTATCGCGCTGAAACAGAAGTTCAGGGGGAAGCATTGGTGCTTCCCCGGGCGGACCTGGAGGTCCGGGAGGTCCTGCAGGTCCTTGTTCGCCCTTTGTTCCCCCGACACCCTCAGAGCCTTTCGGTCCTGGTGGTCCTTCAAGTCCGGGTAGCCCAGGTGGACCATCGCTACCCTTTTGTCCCTGAGGACCTTGAAGGCCCTGTAACCACAGTAGCAGAATGTTCCCTTCCAGCAGTTCCATAGGCAGGAAATATTTAGTTCAATGAGATCAAGAGATTTCGCAGTAGATAGCGCAACATTAACCCAATTCTGTCAGATTCAACTACCCTTTTTTAATTTTTTTAGAATATAGGCATACGTGTAATGTATAAGAGTTCAAAGAATAATTATTATATAAAGTTTTATTGTTAAAATATTGAATGAATTGGAGGACTGTTGTGAAGTAAGGTTACATACTGAACGCCTGGAATGTCGAGCATGGCTAAATGAAGGTCAGATCAGACACAATTCTTAATCTAGATTGAAAGTGTTCTTCACTTGAACTTGATGGAAACTAAAATATAATTCAATATCTCGCATCGACGCTATATAGTCTGAGCTACTGAAAGGCGTCGTTAAATAAACTACAAATATATAAACAAATAATGTCTTGCATTGTACCTTTTTATGAATAACTGTTAAGTTGTACGTGCGCGGAAGAATGTTATTCTTAATAGTTCGTTACACTGCGTTACAGCTCGTAGAATAGTTTAACCGATTATGAATATTTTACGAATGAGTTTGTAATGATGTACAAGTAAAATGTGATAAATGTAAATTTCTGTTCAATACGCCTATGAGGAATATCAAGGAACCAAAAATTTGACAAGAAACAGCAGAACAGGTCTATGAGAAGACAAAAAATGACCGAACTAGATTTCAGTGCTATTACAGCTCTTTGTTAACCGATATTAAATATGAATCGAAAATGCCTCTGCGCACCGGTTCCGAAACGCTGTGTGATGTCACATCTAACATGTTGGATGAGTGATTAGAACACTCCTGCTTCCATTATCGCGGTTTGGAAACCCAGATATTTTGTGACTATACTCAGTCACTCTGGGAAAATAACGGGTCTATTTCCTTAAAATAGACTACAACTGCAGCCTTCCACATCCTGATGATTCCTGTTTCAACAGTTATGTTTTACAGTGCCGTTCAAACAACGTCTTTAAATGAGCATCGACGCCTATCGTAAGAGAGCGAATTTAGAAAGTTTTAAAGCCTGTCCAGGCAACAGTCCCAGTGGTAACAATTTATAGTAAATGAAAAGGAACTTTTGGTATTATAATATATAGTGCGAAGTACGTTTTTAATTTTATGGATGAAAAAAGTCATTTGAATTGTTTGGCAGTATTTTGGATTTCAAAGAAACTGTGTGTGGACTGGATAAACTTGGCTCACAATGGGATTCAATGATGAGTTCCTGTAAACGTGGTAATGAACCTCCGGGTTCCATAAACATAGGTAATTGACACTTTGCTGTTCAAGAGTGTTTCTTCTCAGTTGAATTATATAGTATCAGTTAAACATTTGATATTCCTGAAGTTTGTACCATCATACTGTGTTATTAACTCATTCCATTATACGCAATTTATCTGTCACACAGAAGCTGGTGACAAAAACCGGAAATTAAAAAGATAAAATTAACACGGAAGAATGACATCAATTAATGCCCACTTCAAAAATACATGATACTCACAGGCTCTCCTTTAGGGCCCTCTGGCCCTGTGGGACCCTTCATGCCGCGCTCGCCCTTCTCTCCCATATCTCCCTTGTGTCCTGATGTCCCCAATTCGCCCCGATGGCCCTTAGGACCTCTTCGACCTCGATCTCCTTTGGGGCCTTTCGGACCCGTCTCTCCGACTTTCCCAGGAAGACCTTCCCCTCCAGCTTTGAAAGAAACAAAGTAGTTCGTTTTTGTAGACTTAAGTTTTAAATTAAGAGAAATTAATGATCAGGCATCAGCCTTAACCGTGAATAGTCCGTACAATTACTTCTTATACTGTAATATTTATTGCATGTTATATTTTTTTAAGTTTCTTCTGTTATGAGCTGAGAAGTAACATTCTTTGCCAGTGCAGGGAAGAAGTTATTAATAATTATGGTTAGGTCATGATACGTACAGCAGGACCAGGAGATCCTCTTAGGCCTGGTGACCCTTGAGAACCTGGAACTCCCTGAGGTCCTAACGGTCCTTGTAAACCAGGAGGTCCTGGTGGTCCTTTGTCCCCTTTTTCACCAGGAGTACCTGTACTCCCCTGCTGCCCTGCTGGTCCCTCAGATCCCTGAAAAACAGTTTGTTTGTTACATGTGACAGTGAAGTGTATGATGTACAATAATATGCTGTGTCCCTATGTACAATATAGTCCGTGACTGCTGTTGCCTCTTGAGTCCTATATTTTGTCCTTTCATTTGCCTTTATTTAAAAAGGAAGAATTTATTTTTTTATTACCAGTCTGTTTTAAGACTAATTATTAAAGGTGAACACCATGGGAAATCTGCACCATTAAATGTAGGGTTCTATATAAATTTATTATATTTGTTTATATTTACACCACTGATATTTAATTTTCGCCTTATTTTGAAAAATTGCTTCGATTAAACACTAACTAATTAATACGCGTGTTTTGTGGTCTAAAATGTGTGGTTGCTTTGATTATGGCGTTTGTTATACTTAGCTCCTTAATACGTTTGCTTGGCCGTATTTTGATTAAGGATAATGTATTTTACTTAAGGTGATACAACTGTGTTATAGCGAATTTAGTTGTTTCACTGTACATAGTGAGGCTTGCAGGAACTTTAAATTAATAACTTTACATATACGTCATTTGGTTAATTTATGGTCGTACGTTCCTATAGAATAAATTCGCACCACGAAAATTTCGTCAGATATAACGTCAAAAACGCGAAGTATTACCGTATTCATAAAAAAATGTTCTGTACATAAAGTGTCCTTACAGGCTCTGTAGACATGTTTTTGATCTATCTCCATTCAATGATTCATGTGCCTAGCTCTGTTGTTGGATCTTAGGTATTGCAATTCAACTGAAAGTGAAATATAAATTTTGTCACACTGACAACATTTTGGTATTTTAATATACGTGGCTGTCAAACAAATAAAATAAAAGTACAACAGTGTGGTAGCCTTCAGTGGCATACTGTGCGCACCACGAAAATTTTTTGTGTTGGTTCTAACGTTATTAATGAGGACACATGTACACAAAGCAGACTGCTTATGCAGCATCGGGCATTGCTTATCAGCTGTTAACGAAAATACGATGAATATCATTTCAAGGTGATTGTTAAGTTACCTGTTAGCAAAAATAATGCAATTATGAAACTGTGATGACTTGATAATAGTACCGGAACAGTGGACATGTGCAGTGTCTTTCTGAATTTTGATCCATAGAAACGCATAATGCTAATGGACGAACCACTTTGCCCGGCGGTCCAACAGGCCCCATCTTCCCCGGGGGCCCAGCCTCTCCCGGAGGACCAGCATCTCCTGGCCGCCCGTCTGCTCCATCTTTACCAGGCTCTCCTTTCGGTCCCACTAAACCGGGCTCTCCTGCAGTTCCCGGGAAACCCGGAGGACCAGGACTGCCCTTTGGGCCTTCGGGACCCACCGATCCTCTTGGACCTGGAGGCCCCTGGACTCCTGGTTTCCCTTCTTCTCCCTTTGGTCCAGGGGGTCCTCGCTCACCCTGAAAGACAGTTTCTTGTATTACGCTGGGAGCCAGAGAATAGCAATTATGATGTAGCTCGACAATCTGTTATTTGGGTCTCAAATAATTCAGATTCCTATTTAGAATCTTATATTCAAGTTGTTACCGACTTTTTTCATCAAAGTTAATTTTTACACAAAGATACCATGTTGTTATTACGGCTTTCTAAATGTCTTACAATTCAGCGAAAGCGAAGTTTACCATACAAGCACGTTGTACCCGTCTGTACTTTTGCTGCCATCTTCCAGGGGCTATATAAACTGTTCGTCTCCTCATGTGTGACGAAATTTAAACTATTTTCTGCCACAAGCATTGGGTGATGTAAATGATGATGATTATTTATAGTGATGATGCTTTAATTTTGATTTTATGGCATTATTTTATGGTTATTTATTGACGATTTGATGTTTATTGTTGAAGATTGTGATTATTGTTAGTACTAAATGGTGATATGTTAATGATGGTGATTATTGGTGGTACTATAATGTTAATGACAACGTGATAGTTGATGATTAACACTATTTGATGTTCCGAATATTATTCGGCGTTCATATGATTTAGTCAACGAATAACGCTCTTTGGGATGTTCAATCTGTCTTTCTGTATGTCTGTCAGTTGCATGTCTCAGCTAATGCCCCCTAGGCCGGCCACTTGGAACTAGATCACCCTCATGGATTTCCCCAAATGTCTTAAACCAGTCACTAGGGCAGGGGTGGCCAACCCAAATGATCTTTCGGGCCACTTTGGAAATGCATCATAACTCCGCGGGCCACATATAAAATTATATATCCCCATATTAGATTTAGATACACTATAGACATTTTTTTGGAGTGAAAAATTGAAACATAATGAGTTATTATTATTGTGTTTACTATTATTCTTACATGTAAACATAGACAACACACTGTTTGCCGAGATAGGCTTAGGTTCGAAAACAGTTTACTTTTATCAGGTAAAATATCCTTCACAACAGCTTCCAAACACAAATAATGTATTTTTTTAATACATTGGTTTTCACTACTTTGGCCATTATAAAATAAATATATTTTGTAAAAGTGTGATGAATCTCGCGGGCCGGAAAAATGTTCAAGGCGGGCCACATGCGACCCGCGGGCCGCGGGTTGGCCACCCCTGCACTAGGGTAACCTTGGTGTTTACCCAAGCGAGGCTTGGCCTATCGGGATTATGCTTACCTAGGCTTTGCACCGTCGGCGTCAAATACTATTTAATACTCATTATTATCATTATCATCATCATAATCAACAGTATTGAACGAGAGTGAATTTAGAAAACTAATAACCCTGACTGGGTAACAAGCTCGATGCTAATAATTTAAATCGTTAAAAATAACTTAATATTAATACAAAAATTATTACAAATTTGAGTGTTCAGTGCGAAGTAAATTGATAATTTTATGAATGAAGGAATGTCATTTGAATTAATATTAAGTATTTGGTTCGTAATGATTAACTCACATGTTTTCCATCTATGCCTGTTGGTCCTGGTGGCCCGGGATTACCGGGGTCTCCTTTTGGACCTTGTAGACCCTCTGGCCCAGGTGGTCCAGGAATCCCCTCGCCGCCCTTACTCCCACGAGGACCAGGTTCACCCGGCGCACCAGCAGGACCCTCAGGGCCTATTCATTAATTAATTAACATGATATATGCTTCCTCGCAGGTTCTGTCTTCACAGCTTTAGAGAAATGCAACTCTTTGACGCCAAAGCTAGTGGCCTGTTGTTTAGATTTTATAAGCAAATAAGTCCTAGAAATAAACTTTAAATTTTATAATTATATTGACAGTATGCTTTGTGATATTAAATCAGGTTCTTCGGCACCTGAAACTAAAAATACATGATTACGGCATTAAGGTAGCTGATGCCGCCTTTATATTCTGCTATAAATAGTGATTGGTTTTGTTTTTATGTCTGCTTCGGTGTTCATGTGTGCCAATACGAACATGTCTCTGTGTGTAGTACGCATAGATAATTTCAGTTTAATTTCAACGTCTTCTGTAAAATTGCAGACATTTAAGTTGAAAATCGCTATTACTTATTATTTTGGTGTAAGCATTACTTAAATTCACATATTTGATCTCCACATGTTAATGCGAAACAGCCTCCAAATGAAATCCTGGATATGATCCCCGACACTGTTAATACGTGTCTTGCAATACATAATAAAACAGGTTACTAACTCATGATGCAGAAGCCTTTTTAGAAACTGATATTCGCTCAGACGGCCAAAGAAATTTCCGCTATTTAAGGATCACAGAGATATTTTATCGTGTTAAAAGTGCCCGTCATTGGAATTTATCCTGAGCCAGTTGAATCCATTCAACTCCCTTACGCCATATTACTACATCTGTTTTACTGTCATCCTCCGTTTCTGCTCTTAGATCTTTAAAGTATTATCTTCTCTTCAGACGTTCCGACGAAAATGCTGCATGATTTTCTCCTATCTATATGTATGTAATTTGTTCCACCCATCTTAACAATTTTCTTATCACGCTATTATCAGTTAGTGATGTATACAAAATGACACTCTTCCTTGTGTAAATACAATACCAGACATAAGTATTATAATGCATAGTTTACGACAAATGGCATATGCATAACATTATCTTGCGTACCCTTGGCTCCAATGTCACCGATCTCTCCCTTCATCCCAGGAGGTCCTGGTATTCCCTGCGGACCTGCTGGTCCGGCAGGACCCGCCACTCCTGCAGGGCCATCCTCTCCTTTAGTTCCTTGTCGCCCTATCTCACCAGGAGGACCCTTCTCTCCGGGAGGACCCAGAGCACCAGGTTCTCCTCGAGGACCTTGAGGCCCTGGAGGGCCGGGAGGTCCCTGCATTGGGAATGTTCTATTATTAGCTATTCATTTATCACCCCAGAGAAAAATCTTTGGCCACAGGAGGGGGAGGGGATTTTCCCACAAGTGTCAGGTGTTACTGTATTGTTTGAGGCTTATGCATGTCAACAATAAATTATAGACCTACCGTCTGCATATTTATAAGAAATAATCTTATCTCTGTGCTTAATCACTACTCCACGAAGACGTACTGAGGAGCGGAGATACAACTCAGCCTGTTCTTAATCCTAGAACTACAATACATGCAAGTGCATGGCCATCTTCACCTTCCGCCCCTCACCATCCAACTATTCTTATTCTCGACGCTGGGCAGATATTAGTTGTCTTCTATACATTCCGACCGCTTAACCCTCGGGGACAATGCTCCTGATATCCATCAATTTTGCATGAGGCTAGGTGGGCTCCGGACCCAGTTTCAATGTAGTGTTTGCCTGCCCTGCCTTCGCCTCCCCCTACCGGAAATCGAACCTTGATCTTGCAACCCATAGCTAGTCACCTTACTGACAGCATCTTTGTAGATTTTGTGTTTTGTAATTGTCAGTAGGACTTCCAGTGAATTCAGTATTTTGCTTACCGTTTCTCCTCTTGAACCCTTGAAGCCTTTTTCTCCTGGAGGTCCAGAGTCACCTTTGTCTCCATCCTCTCCTGGAGATCCCATAGGACCTGGTGGCCCTGGAAGACCCCTCTGTCCTGGCAGTCCGTCGCGGCCAGTCCCTCCCGGAAGTCCAGCCTCGCCCTGAAATTAAATAACTTGCTCGACATGTCACATTCTTGTGTAAAGTTGCACCGAAACCTGACTTCATACCAGGGATTGGAGGATAACTGTCCGCCGGCCAGATGAGGTCCTTAAAATATTATATATTGAAAGAGGAAGTGCAGTTGATTGAAAAGAGAAAGTTGTTTCATGACGTGGGTGGATGTTGGCTATAACGCATTGAAGATAAAACAAGCAGCGAACTTCGTGAAATTAAACCATAAACTAGGTGTGGAAAGGGCTCCAATTGCTATGACTCGGCTATGAATCCACTATTAGTGAGTTCTGTTGACTAGCAGCTACACTGTTATAGAAATGTCAACATTTCATTGTGCGTTAACACTGTAATTTGGCGCGGTACATATTAATAGAACATAGAATGAGTTCTCCTGTGGTTTTAACAGAAAATAATGCGCACGATGATGTGACACCATCTGAACTATCTACCTCTAACCCCTTCATTCCATTTTAACCAACAGTTCCTATAACGCGATTTTCCACAATGCGTTTTTCTTCGAGAAGTACTTCAACTCCATATTTACCCTCTCTCCTTTAGCTCCAGCAGGTCCTGGTGGTCCTTGAGGACCTTTCCTACCCTCGGGCCCAGGTGGTCCTTCTTTGCCAGGATCTCCTTGTTGTCCTTTGTCTCCGTGTGGTCCAGGAGGACCAATGGGACCCATATCACCCTTCAGACCTGGCATGCCCTGGAACAGAGATTTCAGAAGGAACTAAAGTTCACGTCCTTCTTTGCATGACTATGAGTATTAAATAAAATGCACACTACTGCAAGTTTAATTATATTTATTTCTTTTTAAATAGTTCAAACGACTGTAAACACATTTTTCTGAAAGAGGGAAAAATAGCCATTTTCTGAGAGGAAATTTTATAGCGGATGTAAGAAAATTATGTTCGGCCAGCGGTGATACATACTATTTATAATTGTGTCAGCTTTTGCTTTCTCACACATAATATGTACAACCAAAATTGCATTAACAGTAGTAACAACAATCTTTAAAATAGTCGTTATTTTTACAAAAATGAAGCTTCAGGTCCCTGTTTCTCATACTTTTGCTGCTTTCATCCACTGTATGAGAAGACTGCATATGCTGACGCCACGAATCTGCTACACTAATGTTTCTCAACCTATGATACGTGTACCACTTATGGTACGCGAGCCAATGTTGAGTGGTTCGCGAACTAAGTAAGAAAATCAAAAGATAATATTAACATAAATAAGTTTTCCCTGAACGCATTTGGTTAGTGGTACATTTAGTGTGTTAAATGAGAATTAGTGGTAAGCCAGCGAAAAGGGCCTAGAACCCCTGTGCTACACTGTTTCGCTTATAGTCTTCTATTTAAAATGTGACTGAGAAGTCAGTGCTGAAACTACTGAACATACTAATCTGCTGTTCCGAATCATTCTTCCTTTTCAACAGATCTATGGTTTATAACGTGTTGAGATAGGGATTGAGTAAAATGAACCTGTTCGTCTATATCTAGACGTCGATAGTTCAGGGTCCTTACCGGTAATCCCGACAGACCTCTCTCGCCTGGAAATCCCGGTAATCCCGGTCCACCTGGAGGGCCTGGTTTCCCTTGTGGGCCCGCCGGTCCTGTCTGCCCCTCTTTGCCTGCTTCTCCTGGATGTCCTGGCTCACCTGGATGACCAGGTTGACCTGGAATTCCAGGTTCACCTACGGGACCAGGTTCACCAGTAGGGCCTGGCGGTCCGACAACTCCTGGCGCCCCGGCAGGCCCAGTTGGACCTGGCTCTCCCTGTAATAAAATTTATATTTAGCTTGTCCTTATCCTAGCACACTTCTCAAACAAAAATAAGTAAAGAGTGCAGTTATCTTTTTATTTATTTTATTTTTATGGCAGCTCATTTTTATTGTTGAAACGCCATAAATATTCAGGAATATTTTTGGAAGATGACTGCAGAGGTTTCGTTTCATTGGCACTATTAAATAACAGACTAAATCTTAGGAGATTAATATTTTAATGAGGCAATTCACTGTTGAATTTAAAATAAGAGCTAACTGAGCTCAAAATTAAAAATTGCTTGTCAGCTAAATGATAATCTCATTACCGGAGGTCCTCTTTCTCCGGGCTGTCCTTGTACTCCGTCCTTTCCGTTTGTTCCTGGAGGGCCTTGAGGTCCGGAAAATCCTCGGGGTCCTTCAGGACCTTGAGGACCTGTCTCTCCTTGCGGTCCTGGCGGGCCTGGTTGTCCAGTATCACCCTGCATGGCACAGAATCTTATCCGTTCTATTACACGTTTTAAAATTGCATTGCTATTGAATGCAATTTAACTAGCTGATTTATCTGAGTTTAAGAACGTTTATTACTTTAGGTCCTGGGATCCCTTCGAGTCCTCTTCTGCCTCTGGAACCGCGAAAACCCTGAAATAAAACACACTGGAATTAATCCAAGGACTCTGTAAGGTGACATAATGACGATCTTGTAGGAAATTCAACAGCAATTTCTCTAGGCCGCCAGATAAAAGTACACCACGTGCATATGTTGTTTTTAAATCGTACTTTCCTTTCCTTTTATTAATGATACCTTAAAACATTTAGAATCTTTGGTTAGAAAACACTGTAACGCAAACTCCTGATATATTTATAAATCAGACGAAGCATGTTGGTAAAAGTAAATTCAGATATGATGTATGATATCGTGTGTTTGGCGGTAAATATAGGCACAGATTTTCAGCAATACAACGGCTTCGAAAGTAGGCCTACAAATTAAATATTACATAACGCATTAAGTAGGTTATAATTTATTGTCATATGGTTATGCATCTTGCTAAATTAACTGTAACCCGGCCTGTGAGGTGGTAAAAGCTTTCAAAACGAATTTTGTGATTGGATCCTTCACTATATTATAGCCTCACAGTTCAGAGATATTAAAATTATGCTCGTCTGCGAGATATTCACGTTACCGTAACGAGCTCTACCCCAACACATACCACGAGACATCCCAGGACAGTTACTTCTTTTCATTTGAGTGGTCAGTGACTGCTTTGTAATGGGGGACACGAGTGGATCCTTTAAACCTTTACTACATTTGGGCTGCCCCTGAAGTTGCTGACATTGAAAGACATTTCTGTTAAGGACTCACAGAAAGTTCTTGAACTTCAGAAACAACTACTGGCGCCAGCAGGACAAAGCTGGGTCTGCCGTCCATTCCATATATTTCTGTTTCTTTTGTCTCATTTTGTCTTAGGTTCTGACTCCTTTGCCTTTGAGGTCACTGGTCCCTTTGTCATACGGAAATCCATTCATACCATGAAATACACCTTAGATCAGCGTACCACTGGTGGCACGCGAACTAAGTAAGAAAATCAAAAAATAATATTAACATAAATAAGTTTTTCCTGGACGCATTTGGTTAATGGTATATTTAATGTGTTAAATTAGATTTAGTGGCACGCCAGCGCAAAAGGTTGAGAACCCCTGCCTTAGATGGTTGTCTTCTGGGTTGTTGCGTCGTGGAGTCTCGTAGAAATTTACCATTATTTTAGAGGTCCTTGCTGCCTCCATCATTAGGGCGATCCACATTATATCATATTCTTTCAGTACATTGTATTTCAAGAAACCTATGGTCGAAGAACTTATGCTTTCGCGAGCTGAAGTTGAACTGAAATGTTGCGTTTGTACTTCTTTGTATATTGGATCACTAGTTGTACAGACTTCATGCTTACCCTAGGGCCTGCCTCTCCCCGCTCGCCTGGAAGTCCTGGATTACCCTGTAACAGTAAGCAGCATTCGATAAAAGTAGTTACCCAAGAGAGACATTGTGTAGAGGACTGGGATGGCCTCAGAGTCGGTCTTGGCGTAGTGGCGAAGACAGACATCTTTAACTCTGTCAAGACCCGAACCTGGTCGCACTATCGGAGTGTATAATGACATAGTTTCATTAAAAAGCAGAAATAAAGCTCCATAAATTCTGAACATTGAAGCTAGATGGAGGTGAGTGCTCAGCTTCAGTCTCCGACTGCCTTAGCTCCAGAGGAAGAATCCCCGAAACCTTTTTAATAGGTGACTGTGTGATCCCAAGTGCTTGTATTCATGTGCCCGGTGATCAAGTGAGAAATTGTGGTCACTGCTGGGGATTAAACACATTACATCCGGACGCTAACCAGTATCTTGACTTACTGAGCAATCCCGGCTCGTAAATTTTGGTATATGTGAAGGAAATTTGCAAACAGTAGTTCAAAAGAAACATCCGACCTTCCAGAAAAGGATATTATTAATACTCACCCGATCTCCTTTTTCTCCTGGCTGGCCGTTCTTGCCTTCGGAACCTTTGTCTCCTTTCTCGCCCGGAGGACCAGGGTACCCGGCAAATCCCGGTATGCCCAATTTTCCTTTCTCGCCGGGCTGTCCTGGTGGTCCAGTCTCTCCTCGCGGCCCCTCAAAACCCTGTCATAAGTAAACTTAATTGGCGCTGCAAGTTAAGACATAGGTGTAGACCCATCGCTGGGGACAATAGTGTATTGTTTGTGTGATAACCGGAAATAAAACGCATGGAATTTTCTGGTAACTGTGGGGCAAGAAATAACATTTTAAATGAGAACATGAGCATGCAGCGCTCTTTTATAAGCACTGGTACTTTAGTGTTAATAACAGCTCCATGGTGCTGTCCACACCCTCCACAATTTGAGATTAACCCTTCATCTATGTGAAAGTCTGTCAAGTGGATTCTTCCTGTAACGTTATCAGCCTAAAATTTTGTCCGTACTCCTCATCTCTGCAAGCGTATATTATGAATACGAATCATGACGCTCCTCAATATGTTAGTTTTACATTATCCTGTTACTTCCTCCCTCGTAAGTCCCAAATATTGTCACCTATTATTTATGAATAATCATTAATTTGTCACATGTGGCTGTGGTGTCAAGGATTTATGCCTCTAAACTTGAATAGGCCTAAAAAACTTGCATTTTTCCTTTTTTAAGACCGTGACTTTTATGGTCGTTTCTGCTTTGGAAATTATAGAAAGATACCGAAGACATAGTTCAGATCTCCTATTTATGATTAAAGCTATAAGATTAATCACATACCTTCGGTCCCTCAGGACCCTCTAAACCCGGTATGCCGGGCGGTCCATTTGGTCCACGCTCTCCTTTCATTCCTAAGTCTCCTTTCTCACCATCAGCACCTCTGTCTCCTTTGTCCCCTTTGTCGCCTGCATTCCCTCTCTTTCCTTCGTCACCTTTAACACCCCGCGATCCTGGGAATCCCACAGGTCCTTGTGGTCCTGGAGAGCCAATATCTCCTTTAGCACCCGGCATTCCGGGATTTCCAGGGTGGCCAGGAGCTCCGTCAGCTCCTGGAAGTCCAGGTATTCCCGGTTTTCCTTGGGGGCCCTAGATACAGATTTGATATATGTAACATTTATTTTTAAGAACACAGCGTATCCTAACATGGGTGTTGGCTAAGTTGTACTCGCAGCTCGGAATCACCTAACTATTATTTGAGAAGTTTAACAAATTTACAGCCTCTATCAGGTGGTTTCGATATTCTTTCTGAGTTAATATTTCCCTGCTGTATGTTTATTCAGCATAGTCTATTTTGTTATATACTAAAAGTTAAACCACTAAAATTTTTCGAAATAATTGTGTAAAAAGAAAAATTATCAGCAGTGTTAAATTTGATACGATTCTGTTACCGCTAATCCAGGAGGACCCAGTTGACCTTGAGGCCCCGGCGAACCTATTGGACCCACGGGACCAGCCTGACCAGGTTGTCCGGGTTGTCCAGGCGGCCCACTGTTGCCCTTAGCTCCCACAGGACCCTCGCTGCCTGGAATGCCTGGTGGGCCAGGCAAACCTGGAAATCCCCTTGGTCCGGGAAAACCACGCGGACCCTGTAACATGACACTTCGAACTTTCAATAAAATCTAGGCATAGCTTGGAGGATATTGTTGACATGAATCATAATAGGGTGTGAGAATATAGACTGGATTCAAGTGGCTCATAATAAGTTCCAGTGGTCTGCACGATAATGAACCTCTGGTTTAAATAACAGACAGGGATTGTTTTGACTAGCTGAGAGACTATCGACTTCTCAACCAGGTTTCTGTAGTTTTTTCGTTAGTTAAGGTGCAAATTTAACTCCATGTGGCTGCTGCCATTTGAGTCGTCAATACATATGGTCGGATAGGCCTTGTTTCTTACAAATGGAGCTGAGAACCCGAAATTTGGAATGAAGATTTGTCACATACATAACTATAAATTATGTACGAAATATTATTTGTAATTCAGTAGTTGTAAACTTGGGACAATGCGGATCTTAGAGGTTATTTCCGATAAATGTAACATTAAATCTGTATATAGGTAACAAGTTCTTGCCGAATGTTAATGATGATGATAACAACAACAAACTAATAAGAGCAGTAGCCCATTTTCAGTTTCAAGGAACAATACAGAAAATATTATCCGAGTGGGATTCTGTTACAAAAGTCTGTAACTCTGTTTTATGAGGTTAATTGAATAAATATATGTGCAATAGGAAACCAACCTTTATGAGTTCTACCTTGGAGTCTTTTTCGACATTTGATAAAATTCAATTTTGTTTCAAAACCGTGTCTTTTATATTGGTCGGATTCTGACCGGAAGTATATTCGTTCAGTAACTTGTAGTTCGCCCAAGTTTAATCAGTTGGGTATCTTTGCAGGTGAAACATGATGAAAGACACACGAGTCTATCCAATACTGTTCGTGCAAAGCATGTATGCATTCGATTTTGTATTTTGTTAGAAATTCGTCCCAAATAGACTTTCCCCGGTTTTGATCGGATTACCAATATTTTGTTGCAAGTTTACTTACCAGTTCTCCCGGCAAGCCTGGTAAACCTGGTGGACCTTCTTCACCCTGCATTCCGTCATGCCCCGGAAGTCCTTGTTCCCCTGTACTTCCTGTTAGACCTCTGTCTCCCTTTTCGCCTGGCAGACCTTTTATTTACAGGTGAAAATATGTTTTTATTTTATTCTGCAGCTCTCCGTTTCATAAATATTTATGATTTACTGGAGAAACAAATTAAGAGTCTTCTCTGCAGATGCTAACTTCTAATGACTGGCTATCGAAGTGAATTGATTTTCTGTTATCAATAATACTAACTTGGTAGCAGAACTTCGATAAACATACATTTTAACGTAATTTGATGTATGATGCTTAACGACATAGCTAACACGCGAAATATTTATTATTTCAGTTTCACAGTGTTAATTAGTTAAAAATTAGTGCTAAGTACATGGTATTTGGCATTGTGATAGATTATAAGCATACTTACAAAATTCGTATGAAATATTGTATACATGTCAGTGACATGGAGAATGTGCAAATATTTTTAAGCAATCTTACAAATTTAACACAAAGTTGTTCTTAGTGGAAATTACAAGCAGGAGTAGATCACTGTATAGTATAATTACTAATTTTAGCTATTTTGAGCTTCATTATATAGAATTAAATATTTAACTAAAAAATATAATATAGTTTAATGTTTTGCAATCTCTAAATTTGAAGTCATATTTAATATCATATGTCGATGTAAAATGATTGTACTGTGTTGTGCAGAAGTACATGCACATAGTAAGCCATGAATTAATAATAACAAACAACACTTATTTATAATGTATATGCAAACTATTAAAGCATTCAACATTCACCCTCTGTATATATGTGTGTTTCTGAGGTAGGAAGCGTATTTTATATGATAACAAACACAAACGGAATCTAACTCTAGAGCATTGGTTCTAAATTCTTTACCATTTTAAGACCCAGCAAGCCAATGTGGCTCACTGTAAGAGACAGATTTTAACAATGATTTGACAAATTGAGAAATAAAGTAAAGGAAATTATAGATTCGAGCAGATGCCTTCACCGCCCAGTTTAATTCTCCTTGCATGGAAATACAGAATTAAAACTACCCGATATCTCTTATCATACCTGGCAGACCCTGTATCCCTTGCTCGCCTTTGGCTCCTGGTGGTCCAGTTACACCTCTTTCTCCGTCCCTTCCAGGACGGCCTCGACGTCCTTCTCGCCCTGGAAGTCCCATCATTCCTCTCAAACCACGAGGACCCTGTCACAGTCAGTGCTTACGTTGCATTCCAAGACACTTGGCTGAACGTGTTTGCTAGGTTAACATGTACAAAGATAAGTTCATTTAGAGCTAAGGAATGAATTCTGACTTTCCAATGAGCGTCGGTTGGGTGTTCTACAGACGTTGTGCATTAACCCGAATTATTAGAGTCGTATGTGCGAGGGGAACATGTACCCCATCTCGTCTAGTAGGCCTACTAGCTTATAATGAAAGCTGCAACTTTTAAATTATATATTACATATACTTTGACTTCTTGTATAGTCACTGCAAAGTAACTCTGTTCGTCGCAAAACACGAAGCTGCTGTGTCAGTCTGTTGCAACAACAGTGCTGAGTATTTTTGTCGCTTTTGGACAGCGACAGTATTAGGATGTTATTGTTAATGCTACCATTATTAAATTTAATCTTCTTATTCGTAGAAATAGAAGGTATTGTTGTCGTAAAAATAAGTGCATACAGCACTTAAAATAATTTACAAATTCTCCTAGCAGTTTGCCTCCTTCTAATGCCATTCAAAAAAGTACTTGTCTGTATCTGTCGCAACCACGTAGATTACGACATATTGCCTTTATACGACTTTGGTTACTGGCTTATTTAATTCTGTTTCTTGCAGACCATTCCATTAAACATTCACTTCAGACGTACGTACACATAGAACCTAATAATCATTCTCATTTCTCTTTTGTCTCAGTTATACAGATGTTCTCTCAGCATTTTACGTGTCACAAGTGTTATTCTGAGTTTCAGTGCTCAAATATATTATGGAAGTTACTTTATGATTAGGAACTTTGGTCTTATTTCTACGTTCATCTATTCCTTCTATGAAAATAGTTTTGACTTTAATGTCAGTCCTTCAGATAGAGTTATATTACAAGAATTTCATTACGAAATTTTTGTGGATATTTTAATTGGTAATTTTTTATATGAACTTCCTTGAAGCAGTAAGCAGTTTCTATGTTTTATTGTATTGTTACGTAATTGACTCGATTTAAAATAAATTGTACTGCTACTGCTACACGCAGGACTGGTGATTTACACGATTCTGATCAAATGTACACCCTGGAAAATTGTAATGACAGGTTCCTGAAACTTTCAGCCTGGGTGGTTATCATCTTACTGGCTCTCCGATATCTCCTGGCTCTCCCTTGAGGCCTTCAGGGCCAGGTGGACCTTCAGGCCCTGGTATTCCAGTCAGACCCATTGGTCCCTCGCTGCCACGCATCGCCGTCTACAAAATAAGTAAGGTAAGTACTGTAATTTGTATGATATAATCTGTTCTTCTTCGTACAAATGCCATTGTTTATTTAATTCTTACAAGCTGTCAGTTTTTTCTTGTATCTAAATTTTTATAAATGAATGGGGACTGAGAAATAGGTTGCCCTTTGTGACGAAGTACTCTCATATTATTTCTTTAAACAGGTTGAGTAAAATTGATTTTGGTTCAGATTCGAATAACTATTACAGGAACAGGGATTACATTCGTTTGGCGAACACGTCAAAATAATGGTGCTAATCGTGGGGGGTTAACCTACATAACAATGCATTTTAGATTATTTTATGACGCTGTCTCAACTGCAGAGCTTATAGATCCTCTCTATCTCGTAATCAATGATAGTAATTATTGTTGATGATTCGGAATTCATGAGATATGCAGTCTTCAAGGCTAGACCTTAATGTTTTCCCAGTATTTACTTTTATTTTTGGTCTTTTACTGCTCTTAATATGAAGGAAAATAAAGAATTGAGGTAGAAAGTGATAACTGGCAGAATTAAAATGGTGGCAAATTTGAACATTGTAAATTGGTTTACTTCTTATTTGACTTGAGTATTGATAATGGTTCAACATAGCTACTTCAAAGAAACAATGCAACAAAGGAGAACAGCGACTTGTGTTGTCAAAGGGCGTGGAAAATAGTGAAATATGCAGAAAATGGCCTCCCTATACCGATAATTTTATGCGCCAGGAGAAAGTTTATAAAAAAGGGTGGAATATTTCAAAGGAAGGCTGGCTAGTGTTTTATAGACTGTGATGTGCCTCTGGGTGTCCAGCGACCGCACAATGTGTTGAGGTGATGGAGTAGATCGGTCATCATATCCCGGACAAACAATGAATCAGTACTGATGACCTTGCATTAATCACGGAAGGAAGCTGCATAAGAATTGCTGAAGTTTCAGGAAAAAATATTTCGTTCAGATATAATTAGGAAACATGAGAGACCTTGGAACAAACGCACTGAAAATAAGGGTGAATTTAGGTCAAAAGAAAATGAAGTTATCTTTATGTATTACGTGATATTGTCAAAACTTAGATTTATCTTAAGTTTCTACTTTTAATCTTACAAATTTCCATCGTTGAAATTGTAACAGAAGTACGTCTACAGTTTTGGCTGTAGAAGATAAGTAGTGGGAAACCAGGTCTTTGTGACGGGGGTAATGTGAAAACGGTCAACTGTAATGCGAATATTTATAGGCCTGCGTACGAGCTTCTGTTTCTGAACGTACCATGTGTTGAGAGAGCATTTGTCTGAACAGCTCCGTATGCTGGTCCGGCCCTTTATCGTATCCCTGCACGTTCAGCTGTGGAAACAGAATTTACGAGTAAGATGACTCTTCTGGGATATAAAACCGACATTTAAGAGAAGCTTCCTGCTTTCGTCATCGGTCCATCACCCTGATGCATTAAGCAGGTGTTTCATATGGTTACCATTGGTGTAATGTTTTAATGGACCATTACTGAAAGATGATTCCGGTGATACCGATTTGTAAGTGTAGATATATTAAAATTATTTTTACAAAACCATGTCGTAAAATTCGTTACATTGATCCAGGACAGAGTCAGGTAACATGCTTACAAGCTTACTTTTAGTATATTGTATGGCGAATCTAACTTATTAACCAAACGCCCCATATAGCATGAATATTACCAGATTTAACCTCCGAGAAATAAATATAGCAAAACAAATCTAAAATTGCAGCCATTTTACAATATTGTTCTTCCTATTTTATAAACGTTTTCGACCATCCTGAAATAAGATAAAACAGAAGGATACACATGGCGGAAACTGAATATTTTTCCTCCCTTAGCAAGTTTATTTTGGGACTAGCAAAAACCAAGACCACTTTAACATTATAAATATGTTAAGCAACTATATGCCAATTTCTGAAAGTCCTCGAAATACAGTCTCCAGAAGGGACGTAGTAATCCAGTCGCAAAATTTGTTACGAAATTCTTTAGTGTGTCAGAAGCGTGGTTAAAGTTTAATTTGGTACGATGCACAAGGCTTTCAGAATTAGTTGGCCATCAGTGCTAGTAGAATAATTCTGTAGTGCATCGTAGGACCAGTTTAGAACGGTCTTCGGGTTTAGTAAAGACAGTTAATGGAAGTGTTCTAGTCAAGCAGTTGGTCATTGAACATTTCGTCTGAGAGCTGAAGTTGAAATGTTAGTCGTGAAGGAAGAGTTTAGTTCAGCAATTTGCCGTTAAGCAGTGAATAAATTAATTATAAGGGCGATTGAGAATATACAAAGCACAGTGTTTTCCCAGTATTTACTTTTATTTTTGGTCTTTTACTGCTCTTAATATGAAGGAAAATAAAGAATTGAGGTAGAAAGTGATAACTGGCAGAATTAAAATGGTGGCAAATTTGAACATTGTAAATTGGTTTACTTCTTATTTGACTTGAGTATTGATAATGGTTCAACATAGCTACTTCAAAGAAACAATGCAACAAAGGAGAACAGCGACTTGTGTTGTCAAAGGGCGTGGAAAATAGTGAAATATGCAGAAAATGGCCTCCCTATACCGATAATTTTATGCGCCAGGAGAAAGTTTATAAAAAAGGGTGGAATATTTCAAAGGAAGGCTGGCTAGTGTTTTATAGACTGTGATGTGCCTCTGGGTGTCCAGCGACCGCACAATGTGTTGAGGTGATGGAGTAGATCGGTCATCATATCCCGGACAAACAATGAATCAGTACTGATGACCTTGCATTAATCACGGAAGGAAGCTGCATAAGAATTGCTGAAGTTTCAGGAAAAAATATTTCGTTCAGATATAATTAGGAAACATGAGAGACCTTGGAACAAACGCACTGAAAATAAGGGTGAATTTAGGTCAAAAGAAAATGAAGTTATCTTTATGTATTACGTGATATTGTCAAAACTTAGATTTATCTTAAGTTTCTACTTTTAATCTTACAAATTTCCATCGTTGAAATTGTAACAGAAGTACGTCTACAGTTTTGGCTGTAGAAGATAAGTAGTGGGAAACCAGGTCTTTGTGACGGGGGTAATGTGAAAACGGTCAACTGTAATGCGAATATTTATAGGCCTGCGTACGAGCTTCTGTTTCTGAACGTACCATGTGTTGAGAGAGCATTTGTCTGAACAGCTCCGTATGCTGGTCCGGCCCTTTATCGTATCCCTGCACGTTCAGCTGTGGAAACAGAATTTACGAGTAAGATGACTCTTCTGGGATATAAAACCGACATTTAAGAGAAGCTTCCTGCTTTCGTCATCGGTCCATCACCCTGATGCATTAAGCAGGTGTTTCATATGGTTACCATTGGTGTAATGTTTTAATGGACCATTACTGAAAGATGATTCCGGTGATACCGATTTGTAAGTGTAGATATATTAAAATTATTTTTACAAAACCATGTCGTAAAATTCGTTACATTGATCCAGGACAGAGTCAGGTAACATGCTTACAAGCTTACTTTTAGTATATTGTATGGCGAATCTAACTTATTAACCAAACGCCCCATATAGCATGAATATTACCAGATTTAACCTCCGAGAAATAAATATAGCAAAACAAATCTAAAATTGCAGCCATTTTACAATATTGTTCTTCCTATTTTATAAACGTTTTCGACCATCCTGAAATAAGATAAAACAGAAGGATACACATGGCGGAAACTGAATATTTTTCCTCCCTTAGCAAGTTTATTTTGGGACTAGCAAAAACCAAGACCACTTTAACATTATAAATATGTTAAGCAACTATATGCCAATTTCTGAAAGTCCTCGAAATACAGTCTCCAGAAGGGACGTAGTAATCCAGTCGCAAAATTTGTTACGAAATTCTTTAGTGTGTCAGAAGCGTGGTTAAAGTTTAATTTGGTACGATGCACAAGGCTTTCAGAATTAGTTGGCCATCAGTGCTAGTAGAATAATTCTGTAGTGCATCGTAGGACCAGTTTAGAACGGTCTTCGGGTTTAGTAAAGACAGTTAATGGAAGTGTTCTAGTCAAGCAGTTGGTCATTGAACATTTCGTCTGAGAGCTGAAGTTGAAATGTTAGTCGTGAAGGAAGAGTTTAGTTCAGCAATTTGCCGTTAAGCAGTGAATAAATTAATTATAAGGGCGATTGAGAATATACAAAGCACAGTTCAGTAATTTAATTTATTTAATTTATTTTAGATGTAGATTATATACTATATATAACTTGAATTATACACCAACAACTTTGGGGGTACAAAGTTGAAGAGAAATTATATCTGGGGATACGCGAACAAAAAAAGGTTGAATACCACTGACATAAACGACGGACTTCAAGTCACCCTACAGATAAAAGATCAATGGAGTCAGGTCCGGTGACCTCAGTGGCCATGCTATTGGGCCACCGCGTCCAATTCGTTGCTGAGGGTACTGTTTATTGAGATGATATCTGACGCGATGGGAGAAGTGTGCTGGGACTCCGTTGTACATAAACCAAATTTGTCTTCTTGTATTCAGCGGTACATCTTCCAGAAGACGTATCAAGTGTCTTCTTAAGATTCAAAGATCTGAAGATCCTCTTGGACATGATGGAGGCTATTATTTCGAAAATGAAACATTTGCGACCCCATTTTCATAGGAATTTTTTTTTTTTTTTTTTTTGATCCTAGAAGACGCACACGAAGTTTGTAAACATACTTCTGACTCACTCTGTATATCGATGCCCTTGGAGAATAACACCGCGTGCATATGAAGCGCATTCTGTGTCAAGTAATTAATATTGAGAGCTCGAAATGGCTGTGCGGGATTACTTATTCAGAATTCATTCGATAGGGTCTTGGTTTACATTGCAGTCTTGACACCACCTCCTACTCCAGGGAAAGGTGTCTCTGTTGTATTAAATAAATATGGATTTGGAAATTAGGATAAAAGTGCAGATCAGATTTTTAATTTAGAAACAGAAACCCCTCCTCTGCTTTTATATTGAAATCCTGATCTTCCAGCTTTCATTAAGTGTCGTCCTGCTTACCACTTGCCCGTTACATAATATCGTTTCAGGAAAATTTCATTTAGTGGGTTAGCAAAGCTTCATAACGAAGAACACTGAGAAAGGAAATATAGCCGGAACGGAAGAACGAGTTGTCAGTCACACACAGTTCGGTCTAGTTGACGGTAGTGAGCTTCATGGGTATGCTACTTTTAATAAGCTCCAGAACTTGAGAGTAGGATGAACTACTATTAGGATTCGGGGTTCTCACTTTGGAGAGAATGATGTTAGCTGTCTTCTTGGTTGCATCCCTTATGATGGAGGCAGTAAGGACCTCTGGAACGTTGGCATACCTATACCAGACTGCACGGCGCTACGACCCAGGAGACAACCATCTTCATACTAGTAAGTTACCTTATAAAGTATCAGAACAGTCTTACCGGTATCATGAACACGTGGCCTGGAGGTCCCGGAATGCCGTTGATTCCACCAATGCCATCTCTACCCATTTGCCCTTTGGGACCAGGGGGGCCTGGCGCACCGGGCGGACCCATGTAGCCCCTGGGACCAGCAGGGCCCCTTGCTGTGATGTAGTGGTATCTCGAATCGCCTCCATGAACTCCTGTGTACTCATCTCCAGAACCTTCCTCCTTTGAAGAAAGTGAGTAGCTACTATCAAGTTACAAACACAATTGGCGTCTACCTGAGCTATCACATCCAGATGTGTAACAGATTATGTGTAATTCTAAATTAACCTCTATCTCTGGGCTAGTCAGTAGATTACGAACCTACTCTGAGCTCGCTCTTAGAACTGCTTCTCAGTGTGTGCCCAGAACCTTCAGTGAGTGCTTATGTATGAGTATTACAAGCACGGTTCAGCCATCGAAGACTTATATAAATTACTTTCTTCGTTTGGGATTTTATCCGTCGTCCGTAATTTATAAATTATTCGAAATCTTTAAAAGTTACCGCTTTCCGAAGGATGGATCTCCCATAGTCTTCAGATTTTGATCTGTAATTCAGAGATTGGGAATAGCTCGGTGTATCTGATCCATCAGAGCAGACATCTCTCGTCTTTCATCTGAAGACGAAGGAAGATGAATACTTCGAAACGCAGTAATTTTTAAAATGTTCAAAAACTTAAAAGACAGATGATGGATGAAGTTCAGAACAAAAAAATAATACTATAGTCAAAAACTTTTAGAGAAGAACTTACGCCAGTAATGTTTTGTTGGTACTCATGGGTAACCACGAGTGGGTCAGAGGTGCCATTGATCTGAAACAAGTCTTCTTCGATTTCTTCCTCTCCTTCCTCCTCATCCTCCTCTTCGTCCTCCTCTTCCTCGTCTCTGTTGTCATCTACAGCCTCCGTAGCGCCGATGGCGGTGTCGCAGTCCGGGGCGAATGAAGTGCAGATTTCATACGCAGCGTCGGGGGTTGGGGAGATCTTGAACAGTTGCACGGCTCCCTACATAAAACAAATGAAAATTTGTAGTTTACGAGGAAATAAGGACGTTGATATAAAAGTATAAAATGATAAAATGTCCGTGTTTCATCACCAAATTGAAGGACAACATTATTATATAAAAAACATATGAAACGAGGAATTTAAGAGAAGTTGAATTCGGAAATACTTGTTACTATCCGGTTCAACATCTTTTGTCTTCCCGTCTCCCATCTAGGTAGCTTAAGATTGAAATATTCAAAAGCTGTAAGTTAGAGTTGTTTTGTATGACTGTGAAACTTGGTATCTTAATCTGTGGGATGGCTGTAATATAAATATGAGTTTCACGTCCGATGGTTTATGGCATTGATTGGCCGTGAAAACTTCTTATAAATCAACCCCACCCGAAAAGTGTTATATTTGATGTTCATAGTTATCCATCTTTATTATTGTCATTTATTTTAAATATTCATTATTTGAAATAAATTAAAATATAATATTTCCTACCCTTTGATTCAGAATGTATTAACTATGTGTAAACATTTAAACTTAAAGATACTTATTCATATGTGTACATGTATATTGCAGAAAAATACATAGAGTGGCAATAAAAGTAACCGGGGGGTACACATGTTTTGTTGCAAAGTGGTTGTGGTGTTTCCAATTCCATTTAGTTGATCTTGTCTGTCCTCAGTCTGCCCGAGCAGAAAACAAAACTAACAATTATGTGTCTCATTATGGTTATAATTATAATATGAGGTGAAAATTTCATGGCATACTTAGATGGCCTCCGCGGCACACCGGTTGCATATCACTGCTATACCCGCAAGCCAACGACACTGGCGAAGTGCACCCACAGTTTGCCTCCTCCGACCACTGCTCCAAGATTCAGAGATTGGAAGTTCTGTGCTGCCATTACTAACCGTGTAGAGGATGTCATCCAGAAGCTGTTGTCCGATGAGAATGATCCCTGTCGTGCTAATTTTCGACGACGTCTGTCGGACCAGCTCTTTTGTAATCTGTTTTTTGCAGTCTAGAATTAGTGTTGCTGCATCTCCTTTTACACTGAACCCGAGCCGATGCCATCTGCAGGGAAGAACAATATTTTTCGTTTACTGTGAAATACAGTTGCATGGTACACATTCTTTTAAAATTGTTACTATATTATGTAATTTCATGTATAATATATAATATTATATTATATTATATTATACGGCATGATATTAAATTTGATTTTATATATGTTCGTTGTGACTGTGTAAATTGATCTAATGTCCATTTGAGTGTAGTATCGTGTTTTTTATCGTTATTTATAAGAATATTTTATTTATCTAAATTTGTTTTTTAGACGATTTTCTTCTCTCCTCTACCTTTTTTTCAGTTCCTTCGAATTTTTGTGTGTTATGCAGGCCCGCACAACAGCTACTTTACAATTTTAAATCAGTCTTTATTTCGCTCTACAGCAGGTTCTCTTTCTTTATTTACTTTTCCCTTCATTTTGCCTCTTTTATTTACTTTTTCCTTCATTTTGCCTTTTTTTTATTTACTTTTTCCTTCATTTTGCGCCCTTATTCCATACCTCCATTCCTGAACGTTATTATACTCCATTTCAGTGTTTTTACAGGTATTGCATAGTTCAGATAGAAAACGATCATCAAATTGGCTCTTAGTCTCTTAATGCAAAGCGTACATTGCGGTTGCGCTATACATTCATACGAAGCGCTTGAAAGAAGACCAGCACAAGAGACAAATATTCGAAGGCATTGAACTTTCATCATCCTGGGTGTGTGCTTATTACACTTTTCAATTTGTGCACTGCATCTACAGTTAAATTTCAGTATGATAGCGATAACTTATAAATCATTTAATCAAGGCATGTAAAGTTTTTTATGGATGTAGAACATAAACATCCCTACAAATTTTGAGGTTATACCGGGAAATTTTTATTTAGTCGAAATTCGTTGCAGTGGAAAATATACACAGAAAATGATTTCTAAATCGTCACCTGCGAAGTTCCTGCTATTTTCATCACATAGACGGACTCATTTGAAGTAGGCGCCATGAGTTCTTTACGAAAGCTGATGTTACTCCGATCAGAAAGCGGATATAAGAGGACGGTTGATATCGTGAACGCTGGATAATCAGAACGACGCATTTGTTTGGACGGAAAACTACAGACAGCAAGGCAGATGGGTATGCATTTGGAACAGGTACTAGTATTTCGAGCAATGGCACAGAAAACAGCCACACGTCACGTGAAACACTCAGAAGCAAACCGAACATGTCGGCTCAACGTGCATCGTATTGTTCCAAATTATAACGTTTATTTATTTTCTTTAGTGTATTTAATGTCTCTTCGTGAATTACTTTATGTTAATTATGTTGCGAAAATTACCAGTCAGTAATGACAGGAATCTCTAAAATAGTATTTGAAGAAGTACCAACCAATCTATCAATACGTTGTAGGCTATGCAATACATTTGTTGATCAGTTTGTGATTTGACATCAAGGCCGTTTTAATCTATTCTTTTCAGTCAGCACAATTTCCGGTAAAAATTGTGTTGGCGGAGAAGAAGGAAAATTTTTACAACTACTTTCCTGTATTTCTGCAAAACTTGCGGAAAATGAGCATTTGGGGGCAGTGGGGGAAATATGGCTATGCTAAGCTAGCGGCTCTAGAAAGAACTAAATAAAATGAAAAATTTGCAGAGATATTTATTTACATTTGACAATTGAGATAACAAATAGCATATTGTACTGAAGAAAGACGAGCTTCTTAACGCGAAAAATGGCAACGTAAAAGAGTCTAAATCGCCCTGTCTTCCCCCGATTCTCTCGATGTGTAGTTTCTGCTGCTGACAGTATCGATATATAAACCATACAGAAATAGTAGGTACAGTTTTGTTCAAAATGATGAGATCGTGTACCGTGGACACAAACAGTAATACGTATTTAGTTTAACAAAGTAGAGACCGTAGAAGATGGTAAGATTAATTTCATTTGTGTGTTTAGACAATTATTTTAATTCAAACGTTTTATTGGATTCGAATTGACGCCCGCTAATCTTGTTAGATTTTCAGAAACTTTGGTATCGTCTCTGACTTCTACTGTACTCGGAAATAAATATCACCGATGAAATTGGATTGTCACAAAATGACTGACTCACTGCTTGAAATTGAGTGATTTTAGTGACAAGTTCAAGCTAGTGACATATGACAGCCTCAGTTTTGTGATTTTAGAGAAATTGGTAGATGGAAACTTTAAAAAATACACAGTTAACTGAAGACTGTTTTATAAACTTCAGCTCTGTTACTATCAGGTATGTTACGTTACTTCTTTGGCAGTCGATAACAAAATGCAGAATACCACCCCTAAGTTTATAACATTAGAAATGGTACGTCTTCTCTCCGGGGTAAAGCGTTCGGGGCTAGTACGCAATCACTGACTTTTATCTGGTTCTGAGGAGCTGAGGTTAAGAATCCGTGGAGCTATGTTTCCACTTCCCCGTGCGTTTACATGGCGTCGTGCCTATTTCAGCATCAGGGATAATTTTATATTTACGTTTTCGTGATGTAATATGATACTCATTACAATTATAATTTAAAATAATACATTTAAAAGTAAAAGAAAGTTTTGTCCTTCCGTTTACAGTGCAAATTTATTTTGAATGCCTATTGTGATATTTTACTTCGTAGTATAGACCTGTAAACTTCAGAATGATACATTTAAAACCAGGCCGATGCTTTATCTTTTTAAAAACCATTACATTAGCTGTCACCGAACATCTCTGACGAGGAATTTATGTGGATTTCATAATTCCCTCCACACAAATGCCATTTTAGTTCCTTCAACGCCCGTCCTACTTCATAATTTACAATCCTCTCATTCGACATCATATAACCTGTGCAGTTGATAGAGAATATACTGGGATACTGGGAACGACCCGTTCTTCAAGTGCCTGAGCACTGCGGGTCCCAACTTTTCGTTGGCTTGATCTATAGACATTCGGTAGGACTCCTTAGATTAGGGATCGGCCCGTCGCAAGGCCTCTACCTGTACACAGGACAGCATAACATAGAAAAACGCGGAAAAACATCCATGGCTTGAGTGGGATTCGAACCCACGGTCCCAGCGACCAAGCGGCACAAGGCACAAGGCCCGCGCCTCAGACCGCGCGGCCACTGCGGACCCCTCATAGAGAATATATATTTACAAATTCAATTCTAACACGAAAGAACAAAACAGCGTATCTCCCGCCTCCATTACAAAGATCAGTTGCTTAATGTTGTTGAATGAAATAGTCTCTTTTTATTTCGAGAACCATATGAAACCCATAAATACTCTATGAGCAGAATGCTGTGTTCTGGATGTTAAAACAAGTGGTCCGTATAACAACCAGTTAGGTTAATGTGGTTAAATGGAAGATCTGGCGGGTTCGGTTTTTAAAATGTAACAGACATGAGACATACCAATTCTTCTTGTAATAAAATTACATTTCATTTTACACTCTCTTACTTGTTCCGGTACCTAAAATATTTGATTCAAATATAAGCATATATTGTTCCAGATATCAGGGAAATACAGCTATAGTAGCCGCCACCAAATTGTATGCTTCAAGGCCACGGAAGGACTTCATCGTCCGCCCTTACCATTAGGCTCCAAGTCAACGGTACGGAGCTGCTAGTTTTGCTATGCTGCGAGTTCCGAACTGCCTTTACTTGTCTGGGTTCTGCTGTTCGTGTTGAAATTTTGTGCAATTTGGTGGCGGATACTACAAACATGCATCTCGTACAAAGGACATTTTGTATGTTCTCATGACGACTGGGTACGTGTCTCCAGATACCATTTTGACATTATAGCATTCACTTACTTGCCATCGCTAATATCAGCGCCGAAGCTGATGGTCTTCTTCGAGGTGGGTTTCGTGTCAGGATCTTCATAAAATAATGTGATGTCATCGCCCAGGGACACAGCAATCTGCTCGTCTCCAGTGTCACTGTAGATGGTGAAGAATGCAGCCCGCCGCGCACCTGAAAGGAAAAGTCAAAACTCGCCCCACTCAGATGTTTTTCTCATTACATCGAGCCACAGATGACTATGACAGAACAAAATGTTTTCAGGATGCTGCCTCGGACGTCCTTCTTTGACATCTCGACATACCGAGCAAAGCGGTCGAATTGTTAGAATTCGTGCTTCATATTCAGGGGTCCTAGGTTCAAATGTTGGTCCGGAGATCGGTCATCCTGACTGAGGTTTTGAGTGGCGTTTGTCACTCTCCCCAGAAGCATGGAGGGTTTGTAGGCCTACTTTACATTAGGCCTGGAATAATTAATTATATGATAATTTGTTATAATTTTCAGTATTCCCAATAATATTTCACAGATTTCTCGTTTATTAAATCTTTTCATAACTATTAATCTATTTTACTTGCACCCGTGTTACATTTTAAGCTTTATTTATGTTTTGTTTTCCTGTGTTTGTGCCGTAGTCCGAGGCGGTAACTAACGCGTATACGTTTTTTTTGGAAGGCGTTTTTCTGTCTCTCGTGTTACTGCTGTAATTTCAACAGCGTTGTAACGTGCGACGGGGTGAGGCATAACTGCCCAGGTACAGCGCAGTTTGCAAGATACGGTTTGCCATTGTCACAAACGTTTACAAGGATACAAGTGTGTTATAATGGTTGTCTGTTATAAAAGTTGCCCTGGTAATGCTGTTGAGGGATCTTCAGCCTTGTGCGTTAATGGCTGACAGTAAAACCACTGCCTTCTGTATCTGCCCAAATAATTCTCAAGACAAAGTTTTCCAGTGTTTTTATTTCTTGGCTCTTTTATTACCACTCTTGGGAGATTAATGAATTTCTGTAAAGTTAAAAGTTGTTCTGCAGACATTCGAACGGAAAGCATTTTGTGGCAAGAAAGGTCGCTGGTGTTGGAAGTTGTCTGTTTAGAAACCTCGCCTCACGTCTGAGATGGAACACGCTGCACTGAGAGAAAGAGCATATTTAACAACTGTAACTATTTCTACGACTTCTTGAATGGATGAAACCACCACGTGTGGTCAAATATTCATTGACAGTAAAGAAAACTGTGAAGATAACATTAGTAATTATAGAACGTTCGGTTGAAATTTACCGTTGTGATCAGTAAAGCGTGATCCTACGTGTATATCTGAAACATTACAGAGAGAACGAAATTGATAGTTTACATCTGATAACAAAGACAGTGGCCATTATAATGCTCTTTCTGCAGCAACTGATGATTTGGGTGTTCTTGCACGTAACAGGAGTGAAAGATTTGCAGATAATAGAAATGCGAAGATGAAAGAGAACTGGACTATGAAACACAGAGAAACGAAAGATGAAATATAAACTTTCACGTGATTTATTATTGTTAACACTTTGTACATATTTTATTTTAAATTTGTTTTTGTGAAGATTGTAGCTTATACTGAAGAAATCCCAGCTTAATGTTGTTTTTAAACAAATTAGCTCTTTCCCACGGGTTGTTCTAGTTATATTTTAACATCTGATATTGCTTTATTTAAAATGAAGACTTCGAAAGTATTCCTAAATAAAAACTCAGCAAACTATTGTTGCAAAAAAACATTTGAAAAAATGTAGTGTTTTACCTTTCGTGGGGCTGACCACAAGCAGAAGGGAGAAGTCCCACGGGAACCCCAGGGGGAAGAGTTGAGCAGTCTGCACTGTGAGGATCGTGCGCTCGCTGATGCTGTACGCTACGTCGGGTTCGGACCCCGGGCGCGACGTACACATACCAGTTGTCTTGTTCACCCCTAGCGGCAGGTTGTGGATCCGTGTTGCATGAAGTAAATCCACCAAGCCGTCTGCGACACGGGAAACAGATGGATGACCTCTCTCTGATCATGTTACGCAACCGTATGCATGCAATTCGGAGATTGCAGCTGCAACTGGAAGTCGTTTAGCTCGCCAAAAATTTCCCCCTTTTATGGAACTCCAGAGATTACAAGATCTTGCCTTTCAACTCTATAACTTTAACTTAAACCACTTAAATCCTGTCCACATTCTATTTTAAGTCCCATTTCATTAGTATCCTTCATCTCATAAATGATCTCTTCCTTTGAGTTTTACCGACCGAAATGTTATGCTTTTCTCATCTCGCCATGTTTTCTACAAATCTCACCCATGTTCTCCTCTTTAATTTTATCATGAATATTTTGTAGCATTTTATAACCTAACACAAACTTGATTCTTATTTATTCGACGGCTTAATAAAACCATTCAACTGTTTTGTTACTTATTATTCAATAAATTAAAATAATTAATATTTTAATCTAATGAGATGAATTGTCTGATTCTGCATTTAGCGTCATCTCAGTGATCTGTCGTTACATAGCGACAGTGTACGAAGAAAGTTATATGAGCAATTAGTTGCTGACCGAGTTTTGAAACACTTATTTTAACAGTATGTCAGCTGATGGCGACGCCGTATTTATGATAATGAACTACAATCAAGTGTAAGATATCATTATTAGATCATCGTCACGCTGAATACTTGTCTCAAGGCTGCCAGACGAGATGATGTTAGAATACACTCTGACTTAACGATTTTCAGATGGATAAATTAAAAACTACTTCTGTTTAGTATTATGCTAATATTTACATAAAGAATTTGATGTTTTAACTTCGATCACAAAGACCTCTGAAACGTCGTCAAACTTCTGCCACACTACACGGCGTAACAACCCAGAAGACAGTCATCTTTTACTGCACAAAAGTTTTGTACTTCCCGAAGATCTATTATCGTACATAATTTTATGACTCTACATTAAGTGGCGCTAGTGTCCTTCCCACCTCATAAATTCGTTCGTCCGTCATGATGTCAAGTTAATATTATCGATTGTAGGAAATTACAGGACAGGAGGCATGTAATAACTCTAATTGAATAAATCACGTAACGGTTCGCTTATAATTTCTATTCTCCTCACTTGATAAGTGGTCGAACAAAGATCACCAGACATCGCGTCGTGATGCAGTAGTTAGCTTTCCTGCTACATACACGGGAGGTCGCAGGTTTAAATCTCGTGCCGGGAGCCGGCTGTTCTGACAAGTTTTCATTGCATTGTTTATATTTTCTCGACGCAAATTTCTGCATAGTATCGCAGCCACTTTCTTTCCATACAGATCAGCGTATGATTCAATACAGTAAAACAATAAATTGAAAAAGAACCATTGGGTAAATGAAGATTTGATTTAAAAACAGTTAAAATGGACGGAACATGAAAACAAGAATGGAAAACGAGAAAGAAACAAATTTTTATTTGAAAAACTATGGATTAATCATGCGATCGGGCACGTATGTGGGAAGATAATATTTAAATCGGTTTTCGGATAATAATTTTTAGGGTGTGAAATGGATGGACATTGTGCAGAGTAAGTCCAAATACCGGGATTTTAGGGTTCTAGTAAGGTCAGGGAATTCATTGTCTGTTGAGTGCCAAGTCAAGTTCTGTACCGAGAATCATGTCTCAGTGCCTAGCAGATGACTGTTTTTGTTGGTGAAATATGTGTGCTATATTTAGTTTACCAAGTGATGCTCGTGCTGTGTATCTGCGTCTGATGAGCGGGGCTTTGAACTTGTTCGGCTGTACTCTTCTCATGTCGGCGAGGACAGTCGCCTATGGCACAAAGAGATGTTGAAAGCAGAGGGCTCGCAGCCGCAGACCGACTGTAGGCCACAAATTGACTTCGCGAAAGCTGATATTTAAGACAAGCTTAACTTGAGCTTTGTCACTGTGTCTTGAGTGTGATACTTTTATAACTCGATTAAAACAATTTAATTTGCAAAGGAGTGTGTGTAATTTCGTTTTTCGTATCCCTTTTATGTTTTATGAGTTACCATGTTTCTTTTCTTTGATCTCAGTTCAATTTATGTTTTTACATTTTTTCCATATTAACACACATTTTATTGGCGAGTGTGCAAATATCTGAACGCATTCAATCTGTCTTCTACTCACAGTATAATAGCCAATATCGGTCACGCTTGACTACACGGGTGAGCAGTTTATGTGATGCGAAACAAATTTAAATTGTGACAACTGTGGCAGCAAGAAATTCAAACGAAGCTCTGGTAATTCATATGGTGGGGTCTGACGGAGTCTGCTTTTGTCGGGTCGATTTTGTGTTGGTGCTTTTGGAGGAAATCTGGCTTCAGTCGCCAAGAAGATGTTTCCAAAATTTAATTTTCTTATAAAATGTTGTGCTTCCAATGCGATTTTCAAATATAATGTTGGGATAAATTTATTACTTTTCAACACAAAAAAGATGTATTCCAGTGAAATTTGATGGGTCATACTACGCTAGATGAGCCGGGATAGCTCAGTCAGTATAGTGACTAGCTACGGGCTGGACGACCGGGGTTCGATCCTCGACGGGGCCGAGGA